AGGAGTACACCCACCGTTGGGGTGCTAAAGTGGTGGGGCTCGGGACGGGGATAGGGATAAGAATCGGGTGAAAGCTGCTGAACATGAACGCCGGCAAGAAAACGGTCATGCGCGTCATTGCACCGCGACTTTACGCGATGGCTCACGCTGGCCGCCAGCGCGGAGCGCTGCATTAGAAACGACGGCGCTGGAGCGAGACCCTACAACGGCGCGACATGTCAGCGCAATCGACCCCGTTTGCTGCTCCGCCCACATGTTGACCGATCCGGGTTCGCGGAGGGGTCCGCAGCTGGGCCCAGGGTCGGCAGGGGGGCGGGGGGGGCTTGTCACCGCTCGGACGCCCATGTCCCGCGTTTGTTCCGATTTCGTGCAGCGCGTTTGTCTTTGCTCGATGGTCCTAGCCGAGAAAAAACGCACACGTCCGAGCGATGCCAAGGGGGAGGATCGTGTCCCGTCGCGGGCCCCGCGAGCCCGCTCGCGAGCGAGGCCGGTCGCGCGCGGCCTGGGGGCACCCGTGTACCGAGGTTTAGGTCGGGCACGTCCTCTTACAGGCGGATGTTGGAAGACAAATGGAAATGTGTTGTTCACCTTATTCAAAACAATATTTTTGGCCCCATGATATCCTTTGGCTGTGCTTGAAATTTCCTCCTGTAGAGGGGCATGCCCGACTTTTAAACCGAGGTGTGCGAAGCAAGAGGCCGGAGGAGGCGAAGAAGGATGATGCCGCGGATGCGAGGAGCTGGCGGCAGGCGGATGCGAGGAGCGGGCGGCGGGGGGGGGGGGGCTGCACGGTTTCCCCCGGGCCGTAGGCGACCAGAGGAGGAGGAGGAGGAGGAGGAGGAGGAGGAGGAGGAGGAGGAGGAGGAGGAGGAGGAGGAGGAGGAGGAGGAGGGGGAGGAGGAGGAGGAGGAGGAGGAGGAGGCTTGCGGCTTGCGGCTTGCGGCTGCCGAGGCGCAGGTCTGTGACTAGCGCCGAGCAGTGAAGAGGCCAGGTGAGGGGCCTGGCGAAGGGGGCTCTACGCGCCCCGAAGACTGGCCTCCAGCGGTGCGAGGGTCACTAACGGCGCACCGCCGGGCAGTCCCCACTCGCACCGCAGCAGGAGGCCAACTCTGATTTAATCAGAGTCCGAAGCAGGCACAGGCTGAGCCTGAGTCAAAACTGTGCTCGCAGCCGTGGGAGGGCAAGGACGTGGTGCACGACGGGACGACGTCTCGACACGACCACCACAGTGTCCTTGCCCCATACCATCATGTTTGGCCGAACACGCAGAGCTAGCCCTAGGTCCAGTGGCCTCGGAGGACGGGAAACGAACGGCCCCAGGCACCGAACCTGAAACAAGGGCGCCATCCCACGGACCCAAAACTTCGCCCGTCTTGGGGTGGCAACCTACCTCTGCGTGTCGCCAGTACATTCTGTGATTCTGAATCGTGCTGGCTACCTTGGCCTCCCCTTCGCACTGTCTACTGAGCTTGCGGCACTTGCCGTCGGGGAGGATCCAGTATCCAGCACACCTCTGACATATGGTCACCCTACCGTGGCGGGCAGGCCTGTGACCCAGCGCGGCAATGGCATTCAACCCAGCCTCCAACGCGGCGTCGGTCAGGGAGGGGGAGGAGGGGTCCTGGCCCAGCGAGGGAGGAACAGGATCTGACACCGCGGGGCTGCTCGCAGTGTGAAGGCGTGCCTGGGGTTCGGCAGCGAAAATGATGTCGGCGCGGCAGCGCTCTAGCTCGCTGCCCTGGCACCTCCTAGCGGCCCCGCTGCACATAACCCGCAGTGTGGCTTCGCTCCTGGCAGACATATTGCACCTCCTGCAACGCCACTCCGCACGCTTCGGCAGTCGGTAAATCTCGTGCTCTATGAGCGTCAAATTGATTCGCTCAGCATACTGGCACACTGGAATCGTTGGGGGCTCAAACGTCTTAGAGTACTCCCCAATGATCTGGACCGCGCGCGCCAAGAAACCCCAGGTGGCTTTGCAGGCCTTCAAATGGGCCTTCTCCGCGTCGTGACAAACCTGCGCATACTGATGGTCCTGGGCTCCAAGGCGCGCGAAAAAGTCGACCCAAGCGTTACCCAAGTAACTGGTGATCTGTCCTTGCTCCAGTGACATGACCTCATCCATGTCTCTGTGTGCAGGGACCCAGACGAACTCGGGCGGAGGCCTATGTTGCTCGAAGAGCTGGAAGATGCGACGCCACACATCAGCGTGTCGTGACAAACCGCAGGCCAGCTGGGGACTCCAGCTCTGGCCTTCCTGCACAAAGGCTAAGTGATCACTATATATTGTGGTCGCCTGGGGGGCTACCGAAAGAGCCATCAAACCCGCGTACCGCTCCGCACGGGGCACCGACTGGCGCCCAGGGAGCGGCCCAAACACCGCCCTCAAGGGCAGCCCAGAGTCCGACAACTCCACCGCGGCCCATCCACACCTACGCAGTTCAGGGCTCGCGTTCGCGAGCCCCGAGCCGTCAGTGTAGATCCGCCGCCCCCAGGGAAGATGCGTAGCCCCCCAGTGGAACACAGGGCACTGCGTGGGTAGGGGGGCTATCTTGATGGGATGGTAAGGCAACCCGTACAGCTCAAGAGAGTCCCACTCTGGGTCGCCAAGCCCATTGTCCCCAAGACCCCGCAGATACTCCCTGCGCTCCAAGACCTCTTCAGAAAGGGATTCAACAGCCAGCTCCTCAGGTGGGTGAAGCACCCCTTCACAGTTATACAACTGGTGCCCTAGAGTGCCAGCCTCAGAACTCACACACATCTCGCACTGGTGGCTGTCCGAGATCCCTAGGGCCTTCTTCCTTGCTGGGGGCCACAGTGCGGAACCAAGCAATCTGCGGGCGCAGCCTCTATGTATCGGATTCTTCAAGCTGAGAATTGAGCTGCGAAGTGCACGCCTCCAGACTCCATGGGGATTCCCAACTATAGGCTGCATGTGGCTAACAATACGCAACATCTGCCATCGTCCAATGCTCTGTCGCAGTAACAGCTTCACATCCCACGGCGTAGTGGTAAGAAGGTTCACGAGGTTGCCCTGGTCGTCGTATAGCATATGTGCCGCCGCCATCTTCCAGTCCACCCTGTGCAGGCTGAGCGACACCGCTGAGAGAGGGCCATTGCATCTGGCCCACGTGTATTCACCATTCCAAGCCTCCATCATGGCAGTCCACGCCCGTTGTAGCTGACTGAGGGGTACCAGTCCATCCCACACTGTGATAGCATATCTACATACTAGGTCTGTCGTGACGTCGAATATCGGGTCAAACCATTCATCACTCTGTGTGGCAAGCCAGGCCGTAAGGCTGGCGTGTGACTTGGCTCCCACCAAAGAGCCAGCCAGTGTGCGTAGCTTTGCCAGCGTCGCAGGGACGACCCCGCTAGCTCCAGCTCCATGCGCAGCAGCGGGCAGCAGGCCCGTGCGCCACAGAGTATGAGCTTGAGCTCGTCCCCGTTGCAGCGCAGCCAACTTGCCCCTCCTGGCCAGAACGCCCATGACACGCTTTCTCTCTTGTATACGTCTTAGTCGCACCCCCGCGAGCTCGTGTCCTAGATTGCGCATGTGTTTGTGGCAGCGAAACCGAATGAATCCCGCAAGCTTCTTCGCCACCCGTGTCGCCTCCGTAGTGCCACCCACGCATCCACTTTTGTCTACCTGAATGATGAGACCCAGCGGCTGCACTTGGCGAATGAACCATCGTACTGCATGAAATAGGACGACCGCCTGAGAGGGTTCTGCACCTATCCATTGAAAGCTGACGTCGTCCATCAACGCTCGTGGCACCACCTCCACATACTTCCTGCGTAGGGCCTCCAAGGACTGGCAGAGAAGCAGGTGGACCATGGCGCAGGCGTGAGAGCATCCCGCTAGTATGCCCTGCGCGGAGGTGAACTTGGTGGACAGTGACCCGTAAGCTCGCACCTGCCGTGGTGCCTGGTATGTGTGAATCAACATCCAGAGTAATCTCATCGGAAATTGCATCTGACTGGCTCTGTCCAGCAGCGCGGTATGTCGTATCGTCTCGAAACACTTGTACATGTCAATGAGTGCACTGACCGTATGCATGCCATTGAGCTTCGCCGTCTCTGCAGCTATGTTGTGTTGAAACGCAGCGTCGGTAGAAGTCGCCCCAGGCCTCGTGCCCCAAAAGGCAGTCGAAGGGTTGGCGAGCTCCCATCTCTTAGATATCCTTCGTCGTAATCGGCTCCAAATACGGACCACAGTATTGATGAGTGCGATGAGGCGGTGGCCCCCCGTGGGCTTGGGGAGTCTCACTAGCACCGTGGTGACCCTCTGCACGGGCCAGCACGCGAGGGCAAGGAGGAGGAGGAGGAGGGGGAGGCGGAGGAGGAGGCAGGCGCAGGCCGTGGAAGGCCCTATGGTCGGCGAGCCGCGGCCCAGGCTCGCCCGCGGCGGGCGGGGAGAAGGGACGCCGGCTCTCGCCCCAGCAGGGGCAGCCCTAGGGGACCACACGCACTGTTGTTGAGTCGGGCCTGTCCCTCTACGGGAGGACTCTTCACACACAGTCTAAAAAATAGTCTGGGGCCGCGATTTCGACCATGTTCGGATGCTTTGTAATAGCTTTGGGCTATTCTAATATGGTTTTCTGGTTTTCCTCCTAATCAGAGCGTGAATTACCTACCCCGCTTTCGCTTCCAGGCAAAACCAAGCCATACCACGCGCCTCCTCGTCAAGCGGCCTGACCAGTACGGGCCGCAATTTGGCATCGGTTGGTATCTCTTGGAAGCGAGGGTGGTCAAAAGTGAGGTAGGTTCGTTTTCCCCGGACCTAAATCCGCCTAGAGGGGGACACGCCCGACCTAACACTATTACCTAGCACTATTCCTACAGACTTGGCTTACCCCAAAGTGGAGTTTCTCGTCGAGTGCACGAGAGATGCGTAGAATGCTAGTAGGTAGCTCCACGTGGTTTCGTAGATCCGACGAAGAGATCAATTCTGGGGGTAAATCAATTCTGTAGTCGGTCCCCTACTCGAACAATTACAGATTATACAGGCGACCACCTGTGAGTCCTACCCTACCCCCCCCCCCACGATTTCCAAGGGGCCGGGGTGGGGGGTCACTCCGCTCGGGGGCTCCCGAGCGGAGTGGACCCCCCAACCCTCCTTCGAGATCGTGGGGGGCGGGGGTAGGGCTCACATCCCAGATCCCCGACGTCATGATTTTCTTCGTAGCGTCGACCCTTAGAAGTTTCGATTCATCCCCCCGGACCCGTTCTTCATCCTGAGGCGTTTTTTGACTGTCCCGACGCCTGCTAAGGGCCCCCAAAGGCCGAAAGAGGCGAAAAACCTTCCGTCGTGATTTTTTCAAGACTCGAGGGGGCCTGGGATGCGGCCACCGACAGATGCCGATGCCCTCCCCTCCGCTTCGCCCCTTGCAGGATCTGCCGGGAGGCCACGTCCCCACACGGCAGCAGCCGCAAAGTGAGCCTTCTTTCTGGTCAGAGCTCACACCAAGGAGCCGCCTTGGGAGTGGCGGTATCGTACCACTCAGAGGGAGAAAGGGTACCCATACCTCTACCATCCTTCTTGTCCTGCTCCTCCTTTCTCCCTCCTCCCTCAGTCCCTGCTCCCGGATCCCTGCTTCCTCCCCCCGCTTCCCCACCCCCTCCGAATCCACGACTGGGGGTGTCGGGACGATGATCGTGGCACCTGACCTGCTCCCTCCCCCATACCTCAGAGGAGGCGAAGGTACCCATACCGCTACCCTTCCCTCATTTTCCCCTTTTTGGGCCTCCTCGGAGGCCCTCGTCGCCACCGCTGGACTCGCCTCCAGATTCTGGTCAGGACGCGCCCCGGGAGAGGTCCGGGGAGTACCAGCATCGGTACCTTCGGGATTCCCCAATCACGTTTGTACTTCCTCGTGTCCAGCGGGGAGAGCGCGAAGTCGATCCTCTCAGGAGGGCGCCAACTGAACACCCATACCCGCCAGTCGGAAGAGGTAAGTGGAGACATGAAGTAAGAAGCTTGATCAGGCAAATTGGGCTCGGGCCTGCCCACAGAACCGCAATAAACAGCAATAGCATACCGAATGTTGAAGTAGGAAGGCGCCTGAAATTGCTTGAGATCTGGATGTTTAGTCAGCACGGGGGAAACGGATCCTGAGGGAAACGGGTCCTGGACCCTGGTGCCTTGCCCCAGGACGAGTGTAGTCGTTGTCTGACAGTCCCGGGGCCCGTGGAGGGCCCCGAGAGCCCGGAAACGGCGACGAATCCTCAGGACACGTTTCCCTCAGGACCCGCTTCCCGTGGCGAGGACATCCCAAAAGACCTACTGGGACCGAGTCGGGCCTGTCCCTCTACAGGGGGAATGTCCCAGACTGGTCCAAACATAGCCAGGGGACGATGTTTTGGCTCCTTCTGGACCATCGTGGCATATTTGTTTTGACTATCCTCTACTTGTCGTCCAAACTTCGACGAAACATGCCCGACCGAATACCTGCATTACCAGCCTGGAACATATCCCTGTCCCTATGCTGGGCATCGCCTCATCACGATGCCAATCTTAGGGATTCCCTTATTTTTTGAGGGCGCATCCCTAAGATTGTCATCGCCTTTTGGCGTGTCAATCTTAGGGATAGGGATACGTTCGAGGCTGGTGAGTATTTGTTTTGACTATCCTCTACTTGTCGTCCAAACTCCGACGAACCATGCCCGACCGAATCCCTGCAGGGACCGGCGTGCACCGAGCTGGCGAGGCCGACGCAGGGCCCGCGGACCGGGGCCGCACGCCCTCCTCGCGAGCGCGGCCGGGGGAGGCGTCCGCGCCGGCCCCCGGGCCCCGGGCCCTGGCCGGGCGCAGCTGCAGCAGGCGTGCGCCCCGGGCCTCCGCGCGCCGCGCGAAAAAAAATATCGCGACGGGAGGTGCTTCGCGATGTTCGGCCTATCCAGGGGCCCCCCCTGGGGCCTCGGGACCGTCAGCAGCACGGCTCGGGAGGAAACACCAGTCCCCGGGAAGGGGTCCAAGCTCCGGGGGGGGGTCACGCCACGGACAGAGCACGAGGTCGGGGGTCTGGGCCCGCCAGTCGGACGAAGCATGATCAGCAGTAAAATGACCCCTAACGCTTTGAGAGGGGACCTCAGTTAGGAGGGCTACACACATTAGGGATAAGGAGTCTTTTCTGCAGATGTATATCAGACCAAACCGCCCAAATCTATGATCCGTAATGCGAAGACGGGGACCACAATGAGGCCGCGTCTTCACCATGGTATTAGGGTTACAGGTTCTTTATCCTCGATGGAAGTAGGCGGAAACATGAACTAGGGAGGCGGATACAGTGGATTGGGTTCGGGCCCGCCCAAAAAAAGAACAGATGCCAGCAAAAACATATCGATTCCTGAAATAGGAAAGCGCTTGAAAAAAATTGGGCCCTGAATCTGCCCAAATACCTGCTTTCCACGACCGGGGTGAACACACTTGGAGTTGTCCGAGTCCTTGTCTCCTTCAATCGCTCGTAGATGCGCCTCTTCGGACGCCCAAAACGGGTACGTAAAACGTGGGTACGATACAAAACAGCAGATGTTGTCCAAAACCGACCGCGGCCGCCGTTGGGCAGGAGGCCTTCTGTCTCCGATGGATCACGACCGCGGCGACGCCGACAGCAAATCCTGTCCAGATTGAGCAAAATCTGCTGCTGAACACCGGGCGAGGATATATCAGAGAAAGGGGGCCGAACGGTCATTCATTGTCATTGGGTGCGTGGCTCTAGTGGGGATCCGTGGTGGGGATTATGCTTGCTGTGTTGTTTTGCATTGTTGATTTTATTGCTGTTGTTGTTGTTCCCGGAGGAGCCTGGTGAAATTTCGTGCCCGCCGGTGACTGTCTGACTGACTGACTGAATGACTGCTTGACTGACTGACCGTCAGGAGGGCGCCTTGAACAACACATTTCAAACCGCCCGCGGGCGCGCAACCGCAACTGGGCGACACATTTCGACCCGTCCGCGGGCGCGCACTCGCAACCGCAACTACGCGACACCTTTCAACCCGCCCGCGGGAGCGCAACCGCAACCGCACCTGGGCGACACATTTCAAACCGCTCGCAGGCGCGCAACCGCAACTGGGCGAAACATTTCACCCCGCCCGCGGGCGCGCAACCGCAACTGGGCGACGAATTTCAAACCGCCCGCGGGCGCGCAACCGCAACCGAAACTACGCGACACATTTCGACCCGTCCGCGGGCGCGCAACCGCAACCGCAACTGGGCGACACATTTCAAACCACCCGCGGGCGCGCAACCGCAACCGCAACTGGGCGACACATTTCAATCCGCCCGCGGGCGCGCAACCGAAACCGCAACTGGGCGACACATTTCAACGCGCAACCGCAACCGCTGGGCGACACACTTCAAACCGCCCGCGGGCGCGCAACCGCAACCGCACTTGGGCGACAGATTTCAATCCGCCCGCGGGCGCGCAACCGCTACTGGGCGACACATTTCAAACCGCCCACGGGCGCACAACCGCAACCGCAACTACGCGACACATTTCAACCCGCCCGCGGGCGCGCAACCGCAACCGCAACTGAACGACACATTTCAAACCGCCTGCGGGCGCGCAACCGCAACCGCACCTGGGCGACACATTTCAACCTGCCCGCGGGCGCGCAACCGCAACCGCAACTGGGCGACACATTTCGACCCGCTCGCGGGCGCGCAGCCGCAACCGCACCTGGGCGACACATTTCAACCCGCCCGCGGGCGCGCAACCGCAACCGCACCTGGGCGACAGATTTCAACCAGCCCACGGGCGCGCAACCGTAGCCGCAACTACGCTACACATTTCGACCCGTCCGCGGGCGCGCAACCGCAACCGCACTTGGGCGACAGATTTCATACCCCCCGCGGGCGCGCAACCGCAACCGCAACTGGGCGACACATTTCGGCCCGCCCGCGGGCGCGCAATCGCGACCGCAACTGGGCGACACATTTCGACCCGCCCGCAGGCGCGCAACCGCAAACGCAACTACGCGATACATTTCAAACCGCCCGCGGGCGCGCAACCGCAACCGCAACTGGGCGACACATTTCAGACCGCCCACGGGCGCGCAACCGCAACTCGGCGACACATTTCCACCCGCCTGCAGGCGCGCAACCGCAACCGCAACTACGCGACACATTTCGACCCGCCCGCGGGCGCGCAACCGCACCTGGGCGACAGATTTCAATCCGCCCGCGGGCGCGCAACCGCAACCGCACCTGGGCGAAACATTTCAACCCGCCCGCGGGCGCGCAACCGCAACCGCGCGCAACCGCAACCGCAACTGGGCGACACATTTCAACCCGCCCGCGGGCGCGCAACCGCAACCGCAACCGGGCAAGGAGGAAGAGGACGATGGGGAGGGGGATGCCAGGGTGGTGCTGCTTGAGAAGGTGCACAAGCAGGTGCTTGTTGCGAAGGGCGGAGGAGGATGAGGTGGAGGATATGGGCGTGGCGGTGGATGTCCTCCTCGCGGCCTCGCGGCCTCAAGGCGTGACCCGCGGCTCTCCGTTGGGACATTGCAGCGGGGTATACATATTCCACGCTGCTGCCTCTGATTGCTGTTGTTGTAGTTTTTGTGATTGTCATTGTTGTTGTTGGTGGTGTTGTCGTTGTTGTTGTTGCTGTTGTTGTTGATGTTGTGGTTGTGGTTGTGGTTGTGGTTGTGGTTGTGGTTGTGGTTGTGGTTGTGATTGTTGCTGCTGTTGTTGTTGATGTTGCGGGTGGTGTTGTTGGTGCTGGTGGTGGTGTTGTTGTTGTTGCTGTTGGTGTTGTTGTGGTGGTGGTTGTTGTTGTTATTGTTGTGGTTGTTGTTGTTGGTGTTGTTGTTGTTGTTGTTGATGTTAGTGGTGTTGTTGTTGTTGCTGCTGCTGTTGTTGTTGTTGTGATTGTTGTTGTTGAACATTATTAATTCTAAAGAATAATTATTGTTGGGCCCCCTGGTGCACGCCCCCCCCCCCCCGCGCCTAGGCCGCAGCCACATTTTCATAATTTTCGTGAGGAAGTCTCAGGTAAAACGATGTCATCCAGATCCGGTTGTTTTGTTGACGCCCGCTTTCCCTGTCAAAAAACACTATAAAATGACATGTCTTGTTCTAACATAACCAAACTTCAAGAATCCTTTGCAAAAGTGACACGAAGTGCACACTCGCGCGCGCAAGATGAAATCCTTCCAAAACCTTAGTTTTCGTAGCGATTTTAACATAAAAACATGAAAAACCCAATGTTTTTTCCCAAAAAAAAGTTTTAAACAATCATCTTGCGCGCTCTTGCGGATTTCTGAGGAAACCCAATATTTTTTCAACATTTCTGTCAAACGGGCTCTTGCGAGCAACTGTTTCACGTGCTTCGAACTTCTGCAACAACGGTTGCGCGCATGCCAGGGCCATCATCCCTGTCAAATAATACCATATTGGACACATTCGTTTTTTCTTCGCGCGCGCACGCCGTCGTCGTCGGCCGCGGGGCCCTGAATAGTAGCCACGGTCGTCCGCATGCCACGAAGTGAAGTGTCCGAACGTCATAGGGCGGGAAGCTGGGTGTGGGTGGTGGCGAAGAGTCGTTTGGAAATTTGGTAGAGCTTGAACCGGCCCCCCCACAAAGTGGGGGTATTGCCCGCCTCCTATGAAAACCCTGGCACTGGTGAGAACGGAGTGTCCCCAGTCTTAAATGATTGTTTTTGTTGTTGTTGTTGTTGTTGTTGTTGTTGTTGTTGTTGTTGTTGTTGTTGTTGTTGTTTGTTGTCGTCGTCCCCCCCCCTGCGACCCACCCCGCGAACCATCTGCGGCCCACCCGCGACCCACCCCGTAACCCGCCCGCGACCCACCCGCGACCAACTCTGCGACCCACCCCGCGACCCACCCACGACCCACCCCGCGACCCACCCCGCGACCCACCCCGCGACCCGCGACCCACCCCGCGACCCACCCCGCGACCCAGCTGCGACCCACACGCGACCCACACGCGACCCACCCGCGACCCATACGCGACCCATCCGCGACCCACCCGCGACCCGGCCTGCGACCCACCCGCGACCCACCCGCGACCCACCCCGCGATCCACCCACATTTCTTTAGCAAAAAATCGGCGAAAGCGGCGGGCTCAATGCATAATGTGTAAAAGTTAGGCGCCTGCGGCGGGCTTCTTCAGAGCCTCGCAGACTGACGACTTCCTCGCCGCCCCCTCACTCTTATCCGCCACTGCGGGGTGCTACGTATCGAAAATATCTTGGATCCAGCGGCTCTGGAGGATGTCTCGCGTGCCGGGGCCTTCTCGGAGCGCTCCAGCACGCTCTGAGAGCGTTCCGGAGCGCTCTGGCATGGAGATGTCCTCGTCCTGGCCCGCTCCGATTGCTTCCGTGCTGGAAGAACAGGAGGAGGAGGAGGAGGAGGAGGAGGAGGAGGAGGAGGAGGAGGAGGAGATCCTTGCGCCATAAACATGCACTTTTGGCGCTCCGCGCGGATGTCTTGGATCTGGGCGGGAGCCCCCTCTCCCCGGCGCGCGGAGCGCGCCAGGGGCGGCGCTGGAGGCGCCGCCGAGGGGGCCCAGCGCGGAGCCAGGACGTCCGCGCTGGAGGCGCCGCCCTCAGGGGGGGCCCAGCGCGGAGCCAGGAAATCCGCGCGGAGCGCCGGAAGTGCATATTTATGACGCTCCTCCTCCTCCTCCTCCTCCTCCTCTCCTCCTCCCTCCTCCCTCCTCCTCCTCCTCCTCCTCCTCCTCCTCCCTCTCCCCGCCCCAAAGGTACCCAGAGGGTATGTTTATGACGCTCTCTGTTCTTCCAGTACGGAAGCAATCGGAGCGGGCCAGGACAAGGATATATCCATTCCAGAGCGCACCCATTTTGATCGATCCGAGCCTCATGGCCTTGCTGCCGACGTAGTTCTCGCCGGGCTGGTCGTCGAACAGCTCCTGCGTGCGGCGGACGCAGGAGCGGGGTGGGGCCGGGCGGGCCGCTCCCCGAGAGATGCCAGGCCCAGGAGGGCACCGGGGCCTCGCGAGCGCTGCTGACAATGCGGAGAGGGCTGTCTTTATGGAGGCGCCCAGAGACACACAAAGGAATAGGCGCAAATCCCAGAATTTCTCCCCATTTCCTATATTTCCCACCACTTCCCCACCACTTCCCGTAATTCCCCAGATTTCCCTGGGACTCAGTGTCTGGGTGTGTTCTTCCCCCCTCTTGAGTAGTTATGCCCGCCTCATGGCCCTGTCCCCCTCTCGGTGCGGCCCAGTCCTTGCGGATCGGGAACCTCCTGGTCAGCAGCTTGTACATGATGACGCCCACGCAGTACACGTCCGAGGCGGGAGAGAACTGCCCGAAGTAGGCCTTGGGGGATAGCAGGAAGCGAACGGAAGGGAAACGGAGGAGCGAGAAGAGCAGACAGGAAGTAGAGCGGGAGAATCGAGAGGAGCGAGAGGATGGGGGAGCGACAGGAGCGAGAGGAGCGAAAGGAGGGGCGAGGAGGAGCGAGGATGAGCGAGAGGAGCGAGAGGAGGGGCGAGGAGGTGCGAGGAGAAGCGAGAGGAGCGAGAGGAGGAGCGAGAGGAGCGAGAGGAAGTAGAGGATGGACGGTGGAGGAACGAGATGAGAGACGAGGAGAGGCGACGAGAGCAGGACAGGAGGGGAAGGATAGGAGGAGGTGCAGGCGCTCGGGAGGAGTCGCGGGGTGAGGAAGCACTGGGCCTCCACGAGAGGAGCACGGGGAGGAGGGAGGCAAGGCAGGAAAAGAACCGCACGAGAGCCACATGCGACCCAGGCAACCTCGGTGCACGAGGCACCGAAAACAAGGAAGGGCCCACGCTGCAGGATCGGTCAACGGCACATCGTGGAGCGGCGCCGCAGCCTCCTCTGCGCACGGGCCCCCCTCCCAGAGCCACTGCCAGCCCGGTCGGGTTTGCACCCTCGGGCCTTGCAGCGCTCCTCCACCCTCTCCCACGACCTCGTCAGGGCCACCGACAAGGGAGAGGGCGGCGGTGGCCGACGCATCCCCGAATCCCTGGCGGCAGAGTCCTCGGCAGGCCTCAGGAGAAGGAAGGGGAGGGCGTGGAGGAAGCCCAGGTGCCCCTCCTGAGCAGCACGGACAATTGGTGGGGGAGGATACCGAGAACTGGCCCCTGGAATCCTCGAGAGTACTCCCGAGCCTCTGCTTCTCGTCCCAGGTGGTAGTCGAGTCTCACCACCCTGGGGCCTACAAACAGCCCCCGATGCCAACATCGCGAGGCAACCCGCGTCGAGATTGGACGAGACGTGGCTCGCGCCGCCTGGAGGGAGGGCCCTCGCCCCAAGAGCCGTCCAGGGGTGCGCTCCTCCGGAGGCGGATCCAGCCGCTGCCAAGAGAGCGTCTCCGGAGGCCACAGGGGCACACGAACAACTTCAGCCCAACGATTCCCGTGAGGAACGCCAGCATAAACGAAGCCTCTTTGGTTGGGCCTCCAAGAGCGCCTGGGCGCACGCGGCGCGCAGGAGGAACAAGCATGGAAGGACCTGAGCCCCTTCCGCACACGAACCCGAGCTGTTCCCGTCCCTTAACGTCTGGGCCGTACTCCTCACTCTTGTGCATCTCGGTGCCCCATCCTCCTCCCCGATCGCTGGTTATGAGGGAAGAGCAGGAGGAGGGGAGGCCGTCGCAGCAGGCCTCTGGCGCGATGTAGCCGTCCGTGCCCAGCACGTCTTTGGCCCGGGGGCTGGTGGGCTCCCAGTTCTCCACCTGCTCCATCCACGGTGCGGGCGGGGGGGGATCCTCCCCCACCCCCCTTCCCCATCCTCGTCCTCCCTTCCCCGCCCCCCTGCCCATATATGATCCGAGGGTCGTAGGGTTCCCCCAGATGGTATGGTCCCAGAGACGACGACGACGACGACGACGACGACGACGACGACGACGACGACGACGACGACGACGACGACGACGACGACGGCGACAACGACGACTGCGACGACTACGACGACGGCGACCACGACGACGACGACGACGACCACGACGACGACGACGACGACGGCTCCGGCGGCGACGACGCCAGCGGCGGCGGCGGCGACGACGACGATGACGACGATGACGACGGCGACGACGACGATGACGACGACGACGATGACGACGACGACGACCACGACGACGCGGACGACGAGGACGACGAGGACGACGACGACGACGACGACGACGACGACCTCTGAACCACCACAGCACCACACCACATCCACAGGGGGGGGGAGGGGGGCACCGCAGCGCAGCACCACGCCACGCCCACTTCTGAACCACCACAGCACCACACCACATCCACAGGGGGGGGAGGGGGGCACCGCAGCGCAGCACCACGCCACGCCCACATGGGGGGGCGGGGGGGACCATCGCGCGGGGGGGGGGCCCAATGGCATCAGCATTGGGGGGGGGGGGCCAAGCCCTAGACCATATGGTCGAGGGTTTTGCCACCCCCCCCCCCCCCAGTGCTAATGCCATCGCCCCCCCCCCCCGCGCGATGGCCCCCCCCCTCCTGTGGGCGTGGGCGTGGCGTGGTTCCCCCCCCCCCGTGGGAGTGGTGTGGGGTCCCCCCTGTGGGTGTGCGGTGGTTAGGGGTACGCCTCAGCCAGGAGTCGGCGTCGCTGGCGCCGCCGCCGCCGTCGTCGTCGTCGTCGTCGTCGTCGTCGTCGTCGTCGTCGTCGTCGTCGTCGTCGTCGTGTCGTCGTCGTCGTCCTCGTCCTCGTCGTCGTCGTCGTCGTCGTCGTCGTCGTCGTCGTCGTCGTCGTCGTCGTCAGTGGCGGCTACATGGGGAGAGGAAGCGGGAGGGGGGAGCAAGGTAGGGAAGAGAGGGCCAAAAACGAGGAGGGAGGGAAGGAAAGACGGATGGGGGGAGGAGGAAAAGGAGCATCGTCGTCGACGGTGTCTTTCACCGTCGTCGCCTCCTTCTGGGTGTGGCGTTGTGTTCCGGTGCATCAAGGAGCCATAGCGGACGGTGTCTTCGTCGTCGTCGCCGTCGTCGTCCTCGTCCTCCTCCTCCTCCTCCTCCTCCTCCACCTCCTCCTCCTCCTCCTCCTCCTCCTCCTCCTCCTCAGCCATTTTCCGCCCGAGGGCGCCCGGCCGCCGGGGCGCGCTGCGGGCGTTGCGGCGGCAAACTTGAAAGTGGCCCCGCCGCCGCGAGCCAGGGATGTAGATGTGGGGGGGAGTGTGACTCGAAAGAGGCGGACCACGGCGATGGGCTGGATGTGTCGTCGGCACCCGTGCTCCCTGAAATGTAAACACCACGGACTGTTGACGAGCGTTGCGCAGGCCAGTCTGCAGCCAACGACGAGAGGTTTGGTGGGACCCTCAGTGGGACAGGTAAGTCAAAACTGCTGGGGGGAGGCGGAGGTGGACATGGCGCAGCCGTCAGTCCACCAGGTGTACATGCACACGGAGTCCGCCCAGTACACCGGGCCCGAGCTCTTGTGCGGGAAATCGTAAACAGGACCGCACTTGCCGTCGTTCGGGAAGGAAGGCGCCGAGGACATTACGCATGTATTCTCGGTTTTCTGGCTTACCCCATTCCACGACACAGGTTCATGGTGAGGCCCGTTTACGGCCATCTTGCAGCGAGGATGGCATCTTTCTTTCTTGCGCTCTTTGCCTTCATTTGTCGTTTGTTCCATGGGAGTGGTAAGTCCTCCCGTCACTTTGGGTTGGTGCTAAACCCGAAAAGAACAAAAGAACGAGGCGAAAAGCACCAGGAGGAGGTTTGGGGTGAACCGAGAAACCCCTGTTTCGGAGTGGGCGTTTGGCCCGTTATATCTCGAAGGCGTGTCAGTGGCCAAGGTGCTGCTGGGATGGAGCGCCCCAACGATAATGCTGCAGCACCCTGTACAGCAGAGCAGCCGCCTGTTGTATAAGAGTGCCCCGTCGTTTGGGCCCCTTTCACGAAAGGCCGCACGCGTAGACAAGGAAATAGCCCAGGAAATAGTCCTCCTCCTCCTCCTCCTCCTCCTCCACCTCCTCCTCCTCCTCCTCCTCCTCCTCCCCACCCATCCCATCTGGGGGGGGGGCCCGAGGACCCTGGGACCCATCCCATCTGTGGGGGGGGGGGCCGTGGGCCCGGAGCCCGCGATCATATATGGCTCCTCCTCCGCTTCGAGCCCACCCAGCTCCGCCCCCTCTTGCCGTGGATCGGACTTCGAGTCCTTAGCTTGCTCCTCCCCCTCCTCCTCCTGCTCCCTCCCGACCCCCTGCTCAACCTCGCAACTCCCCCTCCTCCACTTCCGCCTCCTCCTCCTCCTCCTCCTCCACCTTCTGCAGCCCTACCTCTCCCCTTCCCAGCCCCCCCCACCTCCTCCCTGCTCCTCGTGTTCCCCCTGCCTTTGCACCTGCTGCTGCTCCTCCTCCATAACTATACTATACAAATGCCACGTAGTCTCCGATCTCCCCCGACGACGTCCGGTAGGAGGCGGCACGGCGCCCTCTCCGCACAGTTTGTTTTTCTCCTCGTAGGATTCCAACCGCCAACTCGCCAACGCCTAATTAGGTTTCCTCTGTGTGGAGAACTGGTGGGTGATGTCGGCGGACGTCGCGGCCTTCCTCGGGGTTCCCCGGTCGCGATTCCTCGCTTAAGGGCCCTCCTCGGGAGTATCGGGTTCTTGTGCGCTCATAAAGGCCTTGGGTTCCCCGGCCCCGTGTTCCTTGCCTTCCTTCCTCGCGTTCCCCGGTCTTGCTCCTCGGGCTATCCAGTCTTGTTCATTGTCTCCCCTCCTCGAATGCCCCAGTCTTGGTCCTTGCGTGGGATCCTGGGGTCCCCTGGAACTGCTCCTCGGTTTCCCTGGGTTCCCGGGTATTTTTCCTTGCGTGGGTCGCTCGGAGTCCCCAGTCTTGTTCCTCGGGCCACCCCACCCCACTTGCAAAGCGAAGTCAACTCATGTCAAACAACGCTAAACTATGCAGAAGTAGTCCCATCCGTGCAAACATGGCAAAACAGTGCCAACAATCCCAACCGAAGCCAACTAACCGCAAGCAAAGCAAACCAAGCCAAAGCCATGGACCCATGCAATCTTGGGGAAACCAAGAAGTACCGATACTACTACCCCCCAGACCTCTCCAGGGTTGCGTTCTGACCAGAATTTTGACGGGAATCCAGCGGCGGCGACGAGGGTTTCCCAGGAGGCCCAAAACGAGGGAACGGTAGCAGTATGGGTACCCTGTGCCTGACGCGGATTCGGCGTGGATGCGATGCGGATTCGGTACGGTTTCGACACGGGTCCGACGAGTCCATGGATTCTACACGGATTCGACGCGGATAGGGCCGCGACGGGACAGGCAAGGTCTCCCGAGGATTCAGTATACCAGGCAACGAGTGTTTCGGAAACTCTTTGTAACATACATCGTATACCTTGTTGTTTTTGTTTTGCGTTTTTGTAGTGTACAACTTGTACACAATGCACATGTTGTTGGAGACCACCAAATGCCGCTAAAGACCGCTAGAGGCCACTGCAGGCTGCTAAACAGGCACTAGAAGCTAGTACAGTCTGGTAATCATACATCAAAGGCCACTGAAGGCCACTAAAGGCTACTAAACCGAGGCGGTATATGTTAACATGAACTTCCAAAAATATTCGCCTAAAATCTGAGGAGATGGGGTCGAAAAATCGCTCCGCACTGCACCGCCAACCCTCCAGATCCGGGCGTTGCAAATTGTTCGCAGTGGTGTGTTTTTTTTCGCCGGGCTTCGGACCCTGGGGCCCTCACAGATCGACGCAGCTCGAACCATTGTGGGAACATGCGGTCCAGGGCTCCAGTGGTGATTTTCGCGATGTTGCACTTTTGTTTAACTCGGGGATGGACAGACCCCCCGTTAGTAAAACGTGGTTTAGTGAAAACGACCTGAGGTCCAAACATGGCGGGCGCAAGCCTGGAAAATAACGGCCACGGCGCCATCTCGAGAACCGAAAACGGACAATTCACTAATCGACGTGTCACTGTTGGGGGTTCTGTCCACCCCCGATTAACAGCGCCAACTCTGAGAGAACGATTCGGTGATGCGACGTCGATGTGGAACCGACGTCGCCGATGCGGCGCGATCTCCCGACCCCGTCTAACCGGACTCCATCCGTGAGCCTCTATTGAGGGGGTAGGGGATGTGCAGGGAAGGGGGGTCCGAGTCAGAACTCGAGGGGGGGTGGGGGGGCGAGGCAGGAGGTGGCACCTGAGACGGCATCGACGAGGGAGGGGGGAGAGGGGAAGAGGTCGAGGCAGGAGCTTGAGGAGAAGGGGATGGGGGGGAGGAGGGAGGGGGAGGAGGAGGGGAGAGGAAAGGGGGAAGAAGCACTGGGGGAAGCCTGGAAAGCCCCCCCCCCCGAGGCGCCGTGTCGAAGTCGATCACCTTCGCCACCGCCGGGCTGCCAGGGCTCCGGCCCTCCGCGGGCGGCGCGCTGCGCCCCCCCGCGCGCGGGGTGCCCAGGTCGACCATCACGTTCTCGAGCTTCAGGTCCTTGTGGATTCTGCCTCCCGCGGGGGGAGGCGTCGTCGTCGTCGTCGTCGTCGTCGTCGTCGTCGTCGTCGTCGTCGTCGTGGTCGTCGCCGTCGTCGTCGTCGCCGTGGTCGCCGTGGTCGTCGTCGTCGTGGTCGTCGTCGCCGTCGCCGTGGTCGCCGTGGGCGCCGTCGTCGCCGTGGTCGCCGTCGTCGTCGTCGTCGCCGTCGTCGTCGTCGTCGTCGTCGTCGTCGTCGTGGTCGTCGTGGTCGTCGTCGTCGTCGTCGTCGTCGTCGTCGCCGTGGGCGTCGTCGTCGTCGTCGCCGTGGGCGTCGTTGTCGTGGTCGCCGTCGTCGTCGATAAGGGAAAGGTTGTCGTTGTCGCCGCCGTGGTCGTCGTCGGCGTCCTGCCGTTTTCGGGGGAAGTCGGATTCGGATTCGGAACGACTGCGGCGCAAAATCAAAAATCTACTCAAGGAGGAGCCCGCTCGACGCGGCTCAAATACACCCGGCGTGTGGATGTTATGGGAGACGGGATCGACGATGCATGGGGAGAGGGGTAACAGGTCGAGGCAGGAGATCGAGGGGTGGTGGTGGTGGGAGGAGGATCTGAGGGGGAAGACTGGAGGGAGGAGGCGACGAGGGGGACGGGATCGACGAGGGAGGGGGAAGAGAGGGAAGAGGTCCAGGCGGGAGATCGAGGAGGAGGAGGAGGAGGAGGAGGGAGGGAGGGAGGGAGGGAGGGAGGAAGGGAGGGAGGGAGTCCGTAGCCATTTTGGCTCAAGTCCGTAGCGGTTTCGGCTCGGACCTGACCTTTTCTGGCAAGGGGGACTGCAGCGGCCCCACCAGCATACCTCGTCTTGCCAGTTCGGGCGAGGTTTTACGTTTCCAATGAGCTCGTGCAGGAGCAACGTATTTCCTTTCTCTTTCACACATGGGAGGTGATGGTGGCTCAAAGGACGTTCTTCTTGGGCCGAAGAAACCTCTCTGGAGTTGTACGAAGTGCCACCGGAGCGGCAAGTGGGCGAGCAGAATCAAATGTGCATGTGGGACCGTGGCACCAGCGGCTGTGGTCAAACCGGCGAAGCAGGCACATGAGAAAGTGGTCGCATGTGGAAGTAACAATGTACAGAAAGGACCAAAAGGGCGCTGGGCAGATGGAGCACCAGCAACTCTCGACAAGGCCCTGCTGGCAATTATCAAACGCTTGGAGTCTCTCGAGAAGCCGTCGTCCGTCTCCACGTCCACACCCCCGTGGCAGGACAAAGGTGATGGCAACAATGAAGAAAAGGCTCTCAAAGAACGTCTCGCTCATTGGCAAAAGGCATCAAAGTTGTCGGTGCACCTTGATGACCAAAGAATGGCATATGAGATGGTTGAGAAACTCCAGCAGCACATACAGAGTGCGAAGCCGTATCATGTTCAAGCGCACTCTGTCACATCTAGGCTCGAGAGGGCCAAATATGTTGCTGCCAAGATGTCTGTCAAGCTCACCTCCACGAAGGAAGAGGTGGAAAAGGCCAAGATTGAGCTCGACAAGAGGGTGCAGAATGCAGAGATTGCGCTTCAAGAAGCGCAGCGGCAGGCTCAAGCATTACAGCAGGAGGCCAAGGAGACGTTCGCCAGGGGTTTCTGCAATGATGAGGGCACTGTGCCAGTACGAGCATCCTCGCAGGCTCGAGTGAGGAGTTCAAAAGTTGGTTCCAGCAGCAGAAATCCACACAGGACGAACATTTCGAGACGCTCCGTAAGCTCTTGGGGGCCCAAGCAGTGGCTGCTGCCAGTGCTGCTAGGCCTCCTCCTCCTGTGCCTGAGTCTGGCGATGGTGACACGGACATGGATCTCGACGATGCCGATGATGACATCAGCAAGCTTGGACAGGCCACGGCAGGAGTCGAGGCAGCCAGGACCGCCCACAGTGCAGCACAAAGTGAAGAGGCTCGAGCTGAGGCCGCGCAGAACCTCAGCAAAGCCAAACGTATCTTGGCAGAGCAGATCGCTTCCCTGGCGGGTAAGCGGCAGCGGCGTGGGTAATCTGGCTCCTGAATTCTTGGCTTACTACATCGACATGCACTATGAGTTGCAGCAAATATTGGACCCCTTTGTGTGCGTGACAGATACAACGGAGGCTATGCAGGTGATTCCTGCTGGGGCGCATGACGAAATGCACCACGTCGATAACAGTTTCCGGTTGGCGAACTTCATGCATGACAAGGTCATTGACACTGAGTGGGAGGGATTGGCGTTTCCTGTTCCTGCCATTTGTCCCAGTGTGAGGTTCGATGACGCTCGGTTGGATCCTAAGTATGAGTCTACTGCAACTTGGTCTGAGCCTTTTCGGCGGGAAGTACCTGGCGAAAACCTTAATCCAGCTGGAGATGTATGTCGGGCAGTACCAGATGATGATGGGCCTCTCCTTTCTTCGACCCCGGCGGCCCCTAAGGGTTCGGAGGCCACGTGTGCTGGACCTTCTGCGTCTACAGGTGCCGTGCTGAGGGCCACTGAGAAGAAGGAGACTTCGCTGCCACACCAGATTTTCCATGATGCCATCACGTCAAGAGCTACCCGTTGGCTGCCCAGGCTTGACATGGAAAATGCAGGATATGATGATTGGATGACCTGGTGCATACCATTTGTCATTGCACAGTTGCAGGCTTGTTCTTGGGATGAAGAGCACAGGGACGGCAGATCACTGGAAGAAATGGCTAATGATATATGTTAGAGCAGTTGGGTCCAGTCAGCAGATGGCAGAAGGAACGTTGTGCAGTACTTCGACTGGCTCAAAAGGTTTGCTTCACATGAATGCTGGGAACGCGAGGTCATGAAACACAGGACGGGCCTCAAGCATGTGAGGATGGATCTGAGGAACTACTTGGGAGCTTCGGCTCCCCCAGCTGTGCGTGAATTTACCGAAGATGAAGATGGTGAAGTACTTCCAGTTGTGCAACGGGCAGGCGGACGAGTTGGACCATCAGCTGGAAGTGCCCCTGCCCCAGATCAACCAGTTCGTGAACGATGCGACCCTCGCCCTAGCGAGGTACCTGACGATGATCAGGAGAACCCTGAGGATGAGCCTGAGGCAGACATCACGCGCCAGAAGCGATCGGAGCTGCTTGCTCCAGCGCAGCCGTCTACCCCAGCACCGTGGCCAACACCAACGGCTACGCCTTCTGCCTCTGGAAAGGCCGCGAGAACAGGCCTCGGGTGCGAACTGCAGGCCAGGCGTCACAAACGGGTCCGGTCCAATTGGCCAAAACGTTCGAGATGGGTTTTTTCTCATGAAATGCTAACTCCCGGAGCTCCTGGGGGGCGGTCCTGGACTGGAGGATGGGCGAGAACCGCGGTGAACCGATCCCCCACTTTTTCGCTGGCCAGGAAACCAAGATCAGGAGTCCTCAGAGGTATACATCAGAATGTCCTCAGAGGAAAGGGCCTGGACATCGACTTCTGCCCAGCTGTGTGCACTGGGGAGCATGCTCCAGCTACTTCGGCAGGCGTTCTGGCGGGAGCTAGGAGGTACATCAACCAGAACACCATAGAGGCCCTGGACCTCGCCAAGGTTCCCCAGGCTGCTGGTAGGGTTCTAGCCAGACATGCTCATGCTGTTCTACCTGGGGGCATAATATGGGTCTCTGTTTATTTTTATCATTCGATCGGAGTCACAGCTCAGAACGCTGAACTGTTAGCGGGGCTCGGGAGGTTCCTGGAGTCTCTGACGGTTCCTTGGACCATTGGTTGTGATGCAAATATGGCGCCAGATACCCAAGGGCTTAAAGCTTGGTGCGCTCAGCTTGGAGCAGCGGTGGTCCACCCAGGCCAGGCCACTTGTACAGCAGGCGGGGGTAGCACCTTGGATTTGTTCTTGCTCTCGCACGGGTTGAGCCAGTGCGTCAACACCATCGAGGTGCTCCACGATGCTCCGATCAGCCCTCACTCCCCAGTCGAGCTTTGGATGAGAGGCGTTCCTTTATCCATTCCTATACGCATCAGGGTCCAGAGGAAAAAAATCCCGACGAACAAACCTGTGGGATGTATCCGTCAGCCTGAGCATAGAGTGTGGTCTTGGGATTTCGGGAACGACATGATTGATTTCCTGGACTCATGGGAGCAATGGTTGGACAACGCTGAGCTGGAGATGTGCCGTATATGTGACATATATGGAGATGCTAGGCCCCAGTATCTTGGAAAGTCCCAGGGTTTCCAGAGGAAGGCCTTATCTTTGGAGCTGATATTGCGTAAGAAATGGTTCTCGAATACCACCCCGCAACTTAGGGCTTGGAGGTCGCTGGTAGCACTTCTGGCTAAAGCGGAGCACTGCGCCTCGATCGGCTTCGAGGACCAGCTGTGGCAAGATGTCAGGGCTGGCTTTTTTTCGCCTGGGCGAAGAATTTCTCATGCCTCAGTTTTTAATGTTAGCGCCCTCGATCAGCGACCTGGTGGAGGCAATCACTGCTACTGGTGGCAGAGAGATCGGTTGTTTCCTCCCGTCGGCCAGATCCACACACGATCACCTGATATCTCAGCACTCGCGCAGGCGCTGGGCTAAATGGAAAACCTGGGCTAAGGGATCTGTGGAGAAGGGGGGCAAGGTGGCGCACAGCGACAGCAAGCATAATAATCCTGTTGTTGGGCCTGTCGGGGACCTCGGGTTTGAACTCCAAGGGGGCCAAGCTGTAGATGCTTTACGCAAGGAGTGGGGCACCTACTGGCAGGATCACAGGTCGGGGCTTAGTGAAAACAAACAACTGGAGCTAGCTAGGCAGGCCGAACCCCTCGGGCGCCCAGACTTGCAGGTGGTTAGATGGGCGTTAAGTAGATTCAAGCACGACACGGGTCTCGGAGCAGATGACTTCAACCCTCGATCGTGGACTCTTCTGCCTCGGGAGTTCCTGGTCAGGCTTCTGATTCTCGCGTGGGAAAGGGCCCCCTTTTGCATTCCTGAAAAGTACCCCACCATCATCGTGTTCCAGGGTAAGCCTGAAGGTGCAGGCTTGAGACCTCGGGCCCTCATCCTGTCGCTCTTCAGATTCTGGGGCCGTGTTCGACAATGTCAGATGAGAGCGTGGGAGTTCCAGCACAGGACGCCCTTCTTCTGGGGTACGAGGGACAAGGAGTGCGATCGGGCTGGATGGCAACATGCAATGCTGTCGGAGTTTGCAAGAGCAAAAAGGTTTGAACCGGAAACGTTGTGCAAAGATCTCGGCAAGTTGTAGAGGGTGGCGCCTGGCATACTGTTTGACGAAGCAAAAGAAGCAGAATGCCACCTTGGGCTGACTGTTGCAGCGATTGCGTTGTACACGGGGCCTGGGGCAATCGCGTTTGCGAGTGCTTGTTCGTCGGTATTTAGAACGAGTGGCGCGATTTTAGCAGGCTGCCGATTGGCGACTTCTTTCGCCAAGATCGTGCTCTACCGTGTCCTGTGCTTGCTGTCCCAGGCATTTCCCACCCTGTACATTAGGAACGTCGTCGACGACGTCTCGTTGCAGCTGATTGGCTCGGTCAAGTATGTAACTGAGAATCTAGCAGCAGCTGGCATCCAGTTGAGGAAAGGGTTGGATGACCTGGAGTTGGTGGTCTCTGGGAAGAAGACTGTTTTCCTGGCCTCGAATCAGCCGATAACGGATGGGCTTCTGACGGCCTGGGAACATCTCAAGTATACCTCGAAGGAACATACTCGGTCCCTGGGATGCGATGCTGTCTGCAGAAGGATTCGTAGGAATGTTACCGTTCCCAAACGACTTCTCAGAGCTGCGCGCAGAGTACGTCGTTTATGGAAGCTCAAAGCTGCAGGAGCTGAAATAGCTAATGTCTACCGAGCGGGGCCACAAGCTGGGGCGCTATGGGGTGCCGCCGTAGCAGGGCTTACGCCAGCGCATATACATGCGCTACGTGCACGTGCATGCAAGAGTATATGTAAGCATACAGTGGGAGCACTCACGTCGTTCAAACTAAGATCGTTCGACAAAGGTAGGGACATTGATCCGTATGCGCTGTATCACTCGAATGTCGTACACCAGTGGGCGCGAGCAGTGTGGGACGGTACACCTTCCTTGCTTGTCATGCAGGCAGTATTTGAGCTTGCAGTGGATGCTATGGGCTCTACACGCAGGCCCTGGCTTACGGCGACGTCGCCTGCACATGTGTTGCTCCTCTCTCTTGCAGACATCGGCTGGCAGCCTGTCAGTGCGCGTATCTTCCGTAAAGCAAATGGCGAAGATATTGATCTTCTCCAAATTGCTCCGCTCGCTGTCAGAGACCCCGCTGCCAGAGATGCAGGACGCAGGGCTGATGTCAAAGCTTTAAACCAAAGGCCAAGCCTCAACAAGGTTTGGGTTAGGCCTGCTTTCTGGGAGGGAGCGAGAAAAATGATCAATGGGTCCCGAAATGTTGTCTGGCATGACCACCACCAGGCGTGCGCCCGAAACTGTTTTGCCATGGGGATCTGAACGCAACAGAGGCTGTATGACCACCATCTGGCCCAGGACAGTGTGTGTCAGATTTGCTCAGGTGCCCCAGGAACTGTATTCCATAGGAGGTTTGAATGTCCTGCCTTTGATGCTGATCGACGTGAACACCTCAGTCATGCTGCTCGCGATGCAGCGGCCAGACCTGAGACACTTGGACAGGACTTGGAGAAGTTTGCGTGTGGGCTGTTGCCAGATCCGCGAGAACTCACGCCCCCAGCGTTAAACAGTGAGTGCCAAATTTCTTGGTTTAACAAGCCAGCAGGTGGGCAGTTTACTGGTTTCCTTTTCACCGATGGATCGGCCCTCGACCCCACGTCTGAGAGGTTTCGTCGAGCTGGATGGTCGATCTGCATGGTTTCGAGAAACGGAGACCTTCTCTCGGCTGCTTTTGGGCCGGTGCCAAGACAGATGGCACCGCTGCAGCAGGCCAAAGATGGTGAAGATTATGCATACTACATGTTAGCTGAGCTTGCTGAAAGCCAGTTCGAGACCTTCACCGACTGTCAAGGAACCCTTGGATGCGTGTGGGACCGTCACGAGTCGATCGGCTCGTGTAATCCGAGGGCACATCTTTGGTCCAGGGTGTGGCACGTGTTTGAAGATGGGATAGTGGCCCACAAGACTTTGGGCCACGCCACAATGTGCGACATCCTTGAAGGCAGGTCCTCTCATTTTGAGCGAGAGGGTAACAGGCATGCTGATCGCTTTGCAAAAAGGGGTGCAAGCAAGCACCCAGATGTTTCACACGCCAGTCTGCAGTTGGAAACAATGCAAAGACTTCAAGAGGATCTAATTCGATGGGGTGGGGTCCAAGATGTCCTGATGAGCCAGCGCTCGGGGTTGGACTGTTCTGGTGTCCCTGGGGCACCTGACAAGCAGGACTACATGGGCCCCACACCTTCACCTGCCAGTGCTGCATTGGCACGAAGGTACAAGTTGCAGAGAGCCTCCCTGTGTAGAGCTGAAAAGGAGCTGGCTAGGAGGATTCTTCTCTCTTTCAAGTCCCGGCTTTTTATGGACACGCGTGCTCCAGACTCTGGCCAGGCTAAGGCGATGACTGAAAGACAGGCCATTGTCAACATGCAGGGCCACAACCTTAGGATGTATAAGGTGTGGGACGGGGGTGGAGTGCGGGTGGGCGGGAGTGGGTGGTGTATGAGCTGTATCAAGTGCGGTGGGTATGCTTGGGGAGGAGCTGACATGTTGTGCAAGCCATGTCCCCAGCACCCACCCACTAAAGATTTAAAGCAGCAAAGGAGTCGTCCGTTCAAGGGCCTCTTTCCGTCCTGGGGAAAGGCGTACAGAGGCTGGCGCTTCTCTGATCAGAGGGCGCCAGTGCCGTCGGACCTCCTGGCTCTGATTCGTTCCACGAAGCGAGGGGTCCAGGTCCTACAGGATAGACAGGCTCAGGACGGCTGCAGTTTTGATTCCACAGGGGAGAGAGATGGTCGAGCCCAGTACTCTACTCCAGGTTCGGAATGGTTCAGCCCGCTGGTCAAGACGCTCCTCTGAGAGGAGACGAGTCTGACTAGCCGTGTTTTGTGTTGTTAGGGGTGTCTGGCATTGACAGACACTCCCAATGGGAATAGAATAGAATAGCCAGGGAGGGAGGGAGGAAGGGAGAGAGGGCGGGGAGGAAGGGGAGCCAGGGGGCTGCAAAGGGGTGAGGAAGGGGCGGCGAGGTGGAGCAATCCATGCCCACCCACTCCTCCACTCCTCCACTCCTCCTTCCTCCCTGGTGAATCTCCCCCTCCTCTTCTTTCTCCTCCTCAATACTCTTCAATCTCCATAATAGATATCTATCCTCCTCCACCTCCCGATCCTCCTCCTCCTCCTCCTCCATAACCCTTAGCTGCTTCTCCTGCCCCACCCCCGTTCGTCCTCCCTGTGTGTGTTCCCCCTTCCTCCCTATCCATCGCCTCCTACTTCTTCTCCTGCCCCTTCTGTTCGACCTCTCTCTCTCTCTCGCTCTCTCTCCCTGCTCTTCCCTTTCTCGCTCCTCTTCCCTGTCTCATCCGAAGACAAGAAAAAGAAAATGCCTGGGGAAAGAAGAACGCAGGAAGGCCGGCAACAGAGAAGGCCGGAGATCAGGGAAACAAGGGATGAGGCGGGGAGAAGGACGAGATGGACTACGATGGTGGGAGCTGGAGGAGAGGGACGGAGAGGACGAGAAGGAGCAGGAGGACGGCAACAAGAGCGCAACAGCCTCGATGTGTATACATGGCCAACATCAAAAAGGATGGCAACACAGATGCCGAAGATGACATCAACAAAGAGGGGGAGGAAGAGATGGGTAAATACGCCGAAGAGGAGGCTGCAGCGGGGTGGGAGGACGACGACGAGGCGGAAGACGAGAAGACGGGGAGGGACTGTGCTCATGAAGAGGACGAGACGGGAGACGTCCGGGGGAGGAGGCGGGGTGAGTCCCAGACCCCCGACGTCGTGTTTTTTTCACGGCGTCGGCCCCCAGAGGTCTGGACCCCTTCCCCGGGACCAATCTTTCGTCCTGAGTCGTTTGTTTAATGTCTCAGGGCCCGATGAGTGCCTCTAGAAGCTGAAAATAGCGAACAGCCTTCCGTCGTGATTTTGGTTCACAGAGCGAGAATCTCAGGGGAGGGCGTCGTCGAGGCCGAGGAGGGAAAAGAGGAGGCGTCCTGCGCCGTGCATCGCGCGCAGCGCCTCCAGCACCTGGAAGATGATCTCGCGCGCCTCGGCGTGCCTGACCTCGTGGTCCGCCTGCTCCTCGAAGAGGTCCCTGCCCTTCACCTTCCAAGGGGGGGGAGGAGGAGGAGTAGGAAGAGGAGGAAGAGGAGGAGGAGGGGGGAGGGAGGAGGAGGAGGAGGAGGGAGGAGAGGAGGAGGAGGAGGAGGGAGGAGGAGAGGAGGCGGGGGGGAGGAGGGAGGAGGAGGAGGAGGAGGGAGGAGGAGGAGGAGAGGAGGAGGAGGAGGAAGAGGGGCAGGAGGAGGAGGAGGAGGAAGAGACGGCTGGTTACCACCGCCGCCGCCACCGCGTTCGGAGGGTGCAGGATCTCCCGCTGCGCTGGGATGCAACAGAACGAGGTGCCACGACACAGAACTCCCCCGAAAAACACGAGCGCACGGCCATTGCTGGAAACCGTAAACCGAAGCAATGATGGCATCCTCCTTTCCCGCCTCGATCCTCACCCTCCTCCTTTCTCTTCCTCCTCCTCCTCCTCCTCCTGCTCCTTCTCCTCCTCCTGATCCTGAAAGCTGGCAGAGGGCGAACCGAATGCAGGGTGGCAGGACGACGACGGCGACGGAGACGGCGACGACGATCAGCGGGCACCGTACGACCAAAGCCCACCCAAGGAGGGGTCTTGCTTGAGACCGTCCGCGCTCAGCGGGCACCTCCCGTCCGAGGGGACCGGATCTGCTTCCGCCGCATGCGGGGAGCTACTTACCATTACCCGGATCAATACAGACCCGGGTCAGTCAGACGTTACAAGATCCTGCAAGATCTTGCAGGACCCCGCAGGATCCTGCACCCAAGCCCGGGTCAGTGCAGCCCTTGGCTCTGCAGGATTCTGCAAAATCCGGCGCTCTGACTGACCCCCGTTTGCATCGACCCCCGTCCCTGGAGCCCCGACGCACTCCGCCCAGACTACCACCAGCGGAGGCGCCCTCGTTCTACTCCCGGCGGTCCTCCGCCGAAGAGGAGGTATCCACCACAAGGTGCATCGAAGGCGACGCCCTTCCTCAGGAGAGCCAAGAGTCGAATCGAGAAGTCGGGTGGGCGATCGAAGTGAATCGGATCGGCGGAAATCCGCAGCCGAGTCGGGAAACGTCGAATCGGCGGAAATCGTCACGCTGATAAAAGTCCGTTCAAGAATCGGAGTCAAACTCGGAATCCGAAGACGAACTGGGCCGGCATCGGAAGCCATCGACATCGAAGCGAACCGGATGGGAGCAATCGAGAGGAGCCCTGCAGCTTCCTGGAACACGCCCCATGATGTACATCGCCACGGCGACAAAAAATGGCTCTGCCTTCTCCCTCCCCGCCCCCTCGTTCTGCTCTCACGTCGGGCACGTCCTCCTTCAGGCTGATCCTGGAAGACGTATGAAAAAAAACAGCAGAGACATGAGCAAGGGTAGTCAAAAAGGCACGAACATCGTCGTCGCCTGACTGTTTTGCAGGCTACTCTCGAATATAGGCCCTCCAGCAGAGGGACCTGCCCGACTCGACCCTGCTCCCGCCCGGCCTGCCGCCGCAGCAGCGCCGCCGACCCCCAGGCGCGCCGAGGGCGAGGCCCCTCCTGGAGCGCGCCCTGCTCCGGTGGGCTCGGGCGGCGTCGGCACCGCGCAAGGGTTCTGGACACCGCGTCGATCGTTCCACATCGATAAGGGGGCCCCAGAACACACAAATAAATACACACAAATAAAAACATTCCCCATATGTTCCCATATTTCCTGGGCTTTTGTCTTCCCCACCACTTCCCATATTTTCCATTATTTTCCTGGGGATCGACGATTAATTGTGTCTGTGTGTTTGTTCCTCTCCTGAATCGAAGCGATCGCGGCCCCGATCGTTCAAAGTTGAAGTCTGCGGGGTCCGGTGGCGTCCCCGCGTCCCTCGGGGCTTCCGGGTCGCAGGGTTCCCACTCGAACGCCTTCGCCGGCGCCGCCGGCGCGCCACCGCCGCGTGAAGCTGCTGTGATTATGTGCATCGCAGGTGCCGACCACAGGACGCATCGAGGGCGAGGGCCCCTTCTTGGAGCGCGCCGCGTGATGCACATCGCGCCGCCGCAAGCAGCAGAAAGCCTCTGCCTCTCCCCCCCCCCCCGCCGTCGAGGCAGGGTCGTGGCGCGGAGGGCCCTCCCTCCCTCCGACGCCTTCTCCATCACGACGAAGTAGTTCGTCTCCGTCTCGATGATCGGCGGCGCGCCCCCGGGGGGGGAAGTGAGAGGCCCAGACGCCGTCGCGCAGTGAACAAGCACCGCAACGGAACGCTATTCCTCGGCCTCCAGGGGCTCCCACCGGGCCTGGGGGCCGCCAGAAAACGACTCCGGAGAAAAAGCCGGTCCCCAGGAGGGGGTCCAGGCTTCTGAGGGTCACGTCAAGCGATAATCACGACGTCGGGGGTCCGCAATGGGCGGGCCTTCTCAGAAGGCTCGGAAGTCCACAGGCCTCCTGAGAAGTTTCCTGAACCTCCCCGGACGACGCAGAAGACCTCTCAGAAGGCGCAAGGCTTCAGAAACGCCCCGCCGCCCTCTGAGAACTCCTTCTCCTTCTCGCTTCCCCCCTCGCCCGCCGCCGATATGAACTCGAGAAGCTCGCACAAGCACTCCGTCTTTGGCATGTTCAGCTGCACCACCGTGGTGGAGCGCCACTCCCGCTCCTCGGAGCGCTTCTTGAACGACGCCGCCTTGAGGCGCGCCTTGACCACCACCGGGAAGCCGTCCGCCACCCTCTCGGCGTAGAGGATAGACATCCCTGGGTGCAGCGACTCCACCACCACGCCCCCGAGCCTGTACTTCCCGGCGAAGTCCGCCTCCGACATGCAGAGGAGCCTCTTCCGCCGGCCGCCGCCCAGGCCTCCGTGGCCGCTCCCCCTGCCCCACGCCGGGGCCGCCGCGCCTCGCCCGCCGTCGGCCCCCTGGGTGGAGATGGCCAGGTCGGTCAGGTTGAAGCTCCTGCGCATGCGCTCCCTGATGGGGGGAGCAGCCGAGCAGGGACCGGCCGCCCTGGTATTCCTGGAGGCCTGCCACGGCATGCTCCCGGAACGCCCCCACACATGTTCTCAGAACAACAGCGGTGCTCTTGGAACGTAGGACCGATGTGCTAAAGCAAGACGGTCTGAGCCAGAACTGTTCTGAGAACATGTCGTGCAGACCACAAGAGGTTCTTAGAACATTTTTTAGTGGGCCTATAGAGACTCTTGCTCATGCTCTCCCTGATGGCGAAGAAATCCAGACTCCCGACGTCATGATGCTTTCATTACGTCGACCCCTGGAGGTCTCGACCCATTGCCCTGGGCCGTTGTTGCGTCCTGAGTCGTCTTTTGACGGTCCCGATGGCCGGTAAGATCCCTCATAAGCCGGCCAAGGATGCCGCCAAGTATTCTCGCAAAGGATGCCGCCAAGTATTCTCGCCCAGATCGGCCGATCGCGCGCGCTCGTCGGCCGCGTCGAGGTCGCCGGCCCCGGCGGCCTCGGAGATCGCGCCCCCTTCAACCGCCGAGGGGCTGCGGCGCCGAGGCGCCCTTTACAAAGCCGAACATCGCAAAAATCCTCCCGTCGTGATTTTTGCTCGTTACCCGAGGGGGTCTGGGAACCCTGCACCGAGACTGCCCCCTCCTTCGGGGTCGACCTCTCTGCGGCTCCGCCGTGCCCAGGGCTCCGAGGCGAACCCAGTCGCGGCAACGAGGGCCCCGGGGAGGCAAGAAAAAGCAGGCGAGAACGCACAGAAAGGGCAACGGCCTCCGTGAGCCCCGAGCCCCCCCCGCCGAGCAAGCCCGGCCAAACACGGGCCCCAAGTTGGCGGCGCGCCAAAAGGGGGCAGGGGGAGGGGGGAAGGCTTCTTAGCAGCACCCCTGCCTCTTAGAAGGCCTCGGCCTTACGTCTATAGAGAAGGCCCGCGCCTTCCAAGAAGCAGGGGTGCTTCTAAGAAGCCTTCCCCCCTCCCCCTGCCCCCCTCTGCGCGCCGCCAACCAAGGCCCCTCCTGGGGTCGGCCCTGGTCAGCCTCCCACCCCAGGACCTCGGATCCGTTCCCGAGCGCCTGGGCCCGAAGGGGGCCTCCGCAGAGGACGGAGACAGCGAGAGGCCCCTCTTCGAAACGATCGGCATCGGTAGATGGGGAAATCAGGCGGCACCGACACCGCTGCTCCTCGGACCTCCCCCGGTGTGCCTTCCGACAAGGTATTCGAGGGGAACGGGCAGCCTCGGCGACGAGGGCCAGCGTAAGCACGATGCAAGGGTGGCAGTATCGGTACCTCCTGGCACGCACAGAGACATGCTCATACTATAGATCCTCCGTAGAGGCGCGCTGTCGACCCGAACATACGTAGTACACCCCCATCTTGTAGTACATCCTTTCCCGAGCGGTGTTGCCAAGAAGCGCCCACCACGACGCATATGCTGGAAGACTTCTCGGTGCGTGCGTCGCCCCTGGGGGGCGACGTAACGACGTACACATAGTATTAGCATGTTGGGGTGACGCCGACATCCTCCTCCTCCTCATCCTCCTCCTGCTCCTCCTCCTCCTACTTCTCCTTCTCCTCCTCCTCCTCCTCCTCCTCCTCCTCCTCCTCCTCCTCCTCCTCTGGGTATCGGTATTTGAACAATTCTCGGATAGCTCTCTGAGAGCTCAGAAGAATCTCAGATTAGAAGCCGGCACGGCAGGGTGGCCCTGGAGCTCGTTCCAGCTTCCGGCAGGGACCCTCGCAGAAACTCCTGCGAACTTGCAGCGGCTCCCAGAATGCCTTTTCTCACTGTTTCCCAATACGTGTGTCATCACGCTTTCTAGAAGCTTCTTCCGAAACTCCTTCCAAAAGCTTCCAGAGCTCCTTCGAGAGGCGTTGGAAAGCCCTGCTGGCGCTCCGCTACACAAATTTTGGACCCCACAAGTCGGCATGTCCCCCATCCGGCAGGCTGGGGTTGCTGGATGAAGACAAACGCGTCCGACCCGCCGCGCGACCGCCACGTGCAAAGTGCGCTGGTGCTCCCAGGGTATCCCGCCTCACGCCTTCGACGAACGACGACAGCATACAGCGTCGCCTGGCCCAAAAGGCCCTGCTTGGGTATCCCACCTCGCGTTCTTGGGTGTGGATCGCTCAAAACCCTTGGTCAGTTTCCCACCCAGGCTCGATTTCTGATGGCCCCAGGACCCGAAACGGGTTTCCAGAGGGAGACCATTCTGCGGAACGATTGGCATCAATACCCTGAGATCCACATCGCGACACATCTCGACCCGATCCCTAGACCGAATGTTCTGCAGCATTTTTTGAGCATCTGTGATGGTCCAGGGTCCGAAACTAGGCGAGAACGCCCGATGTCTGAATCTCAGGATATCCCCAGACGTGCGATGTCTGGATTTTGATACATGAGGTCCCCGAAAGCTCGACCCTTTCCACAAGGCCGGCCTTTCATCCCGAGTCGTATTTCAACAGCCCAAGGACCTGGCGAGGGCTCCCATGGAGGCCGACAACGGCCCAAGACCTCCACCCAGAGTTCCTCGAGACGTTGGAGGTCTGAGATCAGTGGCCGAAGAACGGCCAGAAACCGGCGGGCATGAGCTTTTCGCGACGCTAGCATGTCTGAGTATTTGTGTTTGTGTCTTCCCCACTTTGAGTTGAGTCTCCTCCTCAGTTTCTGGCCGCTGCAAGTCGTCTACGTTTGGGGGTACTGTCCCTCTAGCACACCACTCATCGCTTGCACTTTACAGTGTGGGACGTTTCGTACACTGTACCTTCGACAATGCTCGATCGCAATTAACACTCCATCTGGTGCCCACGCTTGAGGACCCTCTACGCCGCAGACTTTAAAGTGTGTGTGTGTGTGTTTGCGTGTATCACAACGTTGCTCATCGCCTTCGTGGTGCTCTTCTTCCTCCTTGGCGTCGACCTGGTCACGTGGCGCGTCCTCCCCTGCAGTGCTTGAGGCTGGTATTTGCGGAGTGCCATTGACGGCAACACCATTTCCTTCGCCTTCCGGGTCTTCGCCCTCGGCCCCTGTCCAAGGCGTACCTTTTCCTACACTTCCACTTCGGCACCGCCTGTTCCCCGGGCCCCGCCCGCTCCGGCCGCCTGAGGCCCCGCCTTCCTGTGCCCTGTCTCCCTAATTAAAGCTGTGCGTAGCCCGCCTAGCTTTTAGCGGAAGAGGTTCGCTCTCGCCCCGCAGATCCAAAAAAGTGTGTGTGTGTGTGTGTGTGTGTGTGTGTGTGTATGTGTGTGTTTGTGTGTTTGTGTGTTTGTGTGTTTGTGTGTGCGTGTGCCTTCCCCACGGCCTAAGGCACATCATCTCGCCGAGGGGTCGGAGGGTATAGGGTCGAAGTAGATGGGCCCGGAGGATCGCGCCGCATCGCGTAGAGCGCCGAAAGGTCATGTTTATGGCGTTTTTCTCGATCTTCCTCTTCCTCCAAATTTCTGCGTCTTCGGCTGAGAAAACTCCTCAGAAGGCCAGGGAACTTCCCAGCCTTCTGAGAAGGCCCGCCCCATTTCTCCTTCCCCAGCCCAGACCCCCGACGTCATGATTTGTTCATTACGTCGACCCCTGGAAATCTCGACCCCTTCCCCGGGACTGGCTTTTCATCCTGAGTCGTTCTTTGACGGTCCCGAGGCCCGGCGACGGTCCCTGGAGACCGAGAACGGCCAAAAACCGCCCGTCTTCATTTGTTCTGAGCATTTTCTTTGGGTGGAGAGCTCAGGGTGAAATCCATATGGGCTTTTGCACCTCGAAAATCAATCCGTCGTGTGATTCACCTCTTGCAGGTTCAAGCCCCGAAAACCCATCGGAACGGCATTTCAGATTCCACCCTTTGCCCTCCACCCAAGGCAAGAGAATGCTCCGTTTCTCTTGCCCGAGGGGGGCTGGGTCCAAGTCTCTCCCCCAACGGCCTGAGGCTCATCACCTCGCCGAGGAGGCCTCCCCGGCCAGGGCTCCTCGCCGCGGCGCCGCCACCCGCCGCGGCGGGGCTCCCCTCCGAAGCGGCGCTGCTCGCGGCGGCCGGGCTCCCGGCCCCGCCGCCATCCCTCGAGGGCGCAGGTGCGGAGCGGTGGTCCTCTGGGGGCGGGGCGCACACTCCTCCTCCTCCTCCTCCTCCTCCTCCTCCTCCTCCTCCTCCTCCTCCTCCTCCTCCTCCTCCATCTCCTCGTCCTCCTCCTCCTCCTCCTCCTCCTCCAGACCTCCTCGGGTTGTGCAAAAAAAAATCACGACAGGGGGGTCTTCTCTACTTTCAGCCTCCACGGGCCTCCCACGTGCCTCTGGACCGCGGAAGAGCAGCTCAGGAGGAGAAAAGCCGGTCCCCGGGGAGGGGCCCAGACTCCTGAGGGCCAGGTCGTGCACAAATCACGACGTGGGGGGTCGGGGTACATTGGAGGCCAGCTCGAGGTTCGAGCTGGCCTCCAATGAGGAGGAGGAGGAGGAGGAGGAGGAGGAGGAGGAGGAGGAGGAGGAGGAGGGATCGAAGTGTTGGGACGTCTTCGTCGGTCCTCGTCGGGCTGAACCAGTCTCGGGGTGCCTTCCGGCGGCTGCGCCTCGCCGACGGCCTTCCGGGGGGCCCAAAACATCCCGAACGGCCGCTGAGGACCCGTGGCCCGAAAACTGGACGACGACGACGACGACGGCGACGACGACGACGTAAACCCATGCCCCCTCGCGTTGTGAAAAATCCACGACTGGAGGTTTCGCTGCTGCCTTCGGCCTCCAGGGGGCCCTCACCAGGCCTCGGGAGCGCCAAAACCGACTCAGGATGAAACGCCCGTCTCCGACTGCTGAGGGTCACGTCATGAACTAAACAAGACGTCGGGGTCTGGGAAGGGGTACGGGGCGGGGGAGGCTTGGCAGGAGGCTGGACATACATCCATAGGCTCACTCCCTCCACGAAGCAGCCTCCATGTACGAAGCCTCCCCCCTCCCAATACCCAGATCTCAGATTCCCGAAGTCACGATTCATTCGCGACGTGATCCCTAAAGGTCTCGACCCTCTCCCTGGGACTGTTTATTTCATCCTGAATCGTGCTTTGACGGTCCCGAAGGCTGGTAAGGACCCCCAAAATCCCAGAGGCCGAAAATAACCAAAACCTCCCGTCTTGATTTTTCATTACCCGAGGGATCCAGGGTCTATAGACAAGGCTCGCTCCCTCCAAAGAGGCAGCCTTCTTGTATGAAACCTCTCACGCCCCTCCCAGTACTGATGGGCCCATTTTCCACCACCACGACCATAACTAGGAGAAGGAGGAGGAGGAGCAGGAGGAGGAGGAGGAGGAAGAGGTGGAGGAGGAGGAGGAGGAGGAAGAGGAGGAGCAGGAAGAGGATAGCGGCGAGAGCCCAGTGGGACACCTAGGGGACGACCCCTAGCCAGGGGGACGTCGGCAAAAAGGTGGATGTCAACATTTGTTCGGGTCCTCGGGGTCCGTGTGCATAAATACTTGTAAATATACCTTATATCGTATTCTAATATGCTGTATTATAACGCATTCCATTATATGATTATATTATAGTAAGATGTAGTCTGTTACGAATAATCGTATTCATACGTGCACATCTATTGATGCGTGTGTGTATATATATATACACGCGTGCCGTCGACCAAGGGTCCCGGAGAACGATGCGCTGCCCGGCGGCGGCGATGGCTGAATCCAAATCCCCCCACCTCCTAGGAAACGCGGAAACGTTCAGGGGGGGAGCTGTTCCCGGAGGAACACCGAACTGGAATCGGCGATGCAACGCCGATGCATATATGTATACTTATCAATACATCTTACAGTATATATGTATAGGTAATATATTTTTATTGTTTATAGGTATGTATTTTAAAATGATACAGTGTGTCTACATCTAGATACGTTTTTTTATTCATTCTACAGATATATGTATGTACACACATATATACAACATACATATATACATATATATATATATACACGACTGCGTGGGCGCTTCGCGCCATGCGCCTTGTTCCGGACGCTTCCCCGGCAAAGCAAACAATCATCGTTTGCTTCAGCAGGGGGGCCTCGAGGCCTGGACGGGCGATCGGCTCATTTTTCTGATTTCCCTGGTGCCTGCCGACACCGCGTTCGCCCGCTGCGCTTGCAATCTTGTGCGCAGGAGCGGGGAAAGACTGATGTTTCTTTTCACGCGCGAAGGTGTTGGCAAACGACGAAGCATCAACATGTTGCGACTGCCCACGAAGGGGGAACGGGAACGGAGCAGGAATGAAGGGGGGCTGAAGAGGCGGAAGGGGGGAGGGTAGGGGGAGCAACGAAGGTCCAGAGGAAGGAGCGGGCGAATGAGGTTGGCCATCGGATGCCACGAACGTGGAGGTCGACGAAGAAGGCAGAAAGGGGGAAGGGAAAAAGAGAGAGAGAGGGTGATAGAGGTACGGGAAAACCAGGCGCTCTGGCGTGACCGCAGCGAAGTCTAAGCGTTTTTGGTGGCTCTTTTGGGCCGTCCTGGGGCCCTCTTGAGCCGTCCTGGGGCCGTCTTGGGCCGTCTTGGGGAGCTGGAGCCCTCCAGAGGTCTTCTGAAGCCATCTAGGGCACTCGTGGGGGCCTCCAACGGCCCTCTTGGGGGTCTCCCATGGCTTTTGTGGGTCTCTCTTGGGAGCCTTCTGGTATCTTGGGCTTCTTCTGGGCAGTCTCGGGGCTCTCTGGGGCAGTCTTGGGGCCCTCTTGGGCCGTCTTCAAACCCTCTGGGGGGCCTCTTTGGCCGTCTTGTGGCGATATCGGAGGACCATGGGGCCATCTTGGACACTGAGAAGGCCCCACAAGCGGATACGTTATCTTTTTGCTGTTTGTGTTTTTTTGTGTTCTCTCTCTCTCTCTCTCTCTCTCTCCATATATATATATATATATATATACACACATATATACCTAAGGGAATGGGACAATGTGTGCTTCTTCGGGGCTCTCTGAACGGCCTCTTGGGGCGTCTTGGGGGCCTCGTTGGCCGTCTTCGGACCATCGAGGTTACTCTTGGAGCGCTCTTTTGCTGTCTTGGGTCTCTCTTGCGCCTCTCCGATGACCCCTCTGATCGCTTTGAGTCTGCTCGCAAGGCCCGATAAGGCGCCCTGGGAGGCCCGGAAGGGCCAGCGGACCTTTTCCAAAGGCGTCCCTGGGGCCGCCGAGACGTCCGAAAGGGGCGTCTGGGGCGTTCCTGGGGAGGGGTCCCGTATAAATAAAAATATAAAAATGAAAAAACACTTTTGAAAGGCCGGGGACCCCTGAAAGAGCGCCCCCCCACCCCACACCTACCGAATTTGGCCCACCCCGGGCCTCTCCGGCAACCCTCCAGACGACCCGGGAGAACCCCACGAGAGCCCGAAGACGGCCTCAGAGGGCTCCAGGCGTTCCAGCGCGCTCCCGAAACGACCCCAGAGAACCCCAAGACGGCCCACGACAACCTCAAAGAAGCCGACATGACATACCCCCGCTGATCGCTCCAAAGCGTCCCAAGAGGTCTCCAAGAGCACTCCCAAAAAGGCCCCCAGAGGCAAATACATTGATTTTCTGGTGTTGTTGTGAATTCGGGGGTTCTCTTCTTTGCGGCTTCCTGACGCTCCAAGACGGCGGTCTTCTGGGCGTCCGAAGCTGCCTGGGAGGCTCGAAAATCGCCCTGCAACCATCCGAAAGGGCTTCCAGGCAGTCTAAGAGAGCCCAGCGGCACAACAGGGTTCCAAGATGGCCTAAGAGAGCTCCATGACGGCCCAAGATGGCCCCAAAACACCCTCCGAAGCATTCTAAATCATGACCCCGTGGTTCAGGGAGACCGGGGTTGGAGGCAGGGTGGCCCGAGGAAACCCCCGAACGCCCCCAGAAGATGCCCAGGAGGCCTCCAAAAGGCCTTAAGAAATCCTGAAACAATTTTTGTGAGGCCCCAAGAGGCTCTCCAAGGAGGAGCCTCCGCAAAAAGAGCTGCGGAGGATGGGGAGAATACTCAAGGGATGGCGAGAATGAAGAAAAAGAAGCATGGGGGAAAGATAACGACTAACATTATTATCAGTAACGGCGATGTCGGAAAAAGACAACAAGGAATTATCGCTAAACTGTCGGCTTGACCTTCCTGCCATTCCGCCTGCATACCAAACTTCAAGGACCAAGGTGCATGGCGCGAAGCGCTAATGTGGTCTTGTATATATATATACATATATATACACATATATATATATACATATATATATATATATATGTATATATATATATCATATATATCGGCGATGGCTCACCCGCGCACGGTCCTTGGCGAGACCTCATTGGCGCATGGGCGATCTGGGGCCGGTGCACCCCCCCTGAGCCTATCCCCTCCGACGTTGGCTCTGCCCACCCCTGCAAACGGGGCGTTAGTAAACGCGCTGGTAGCCAAGGGTGTGTGTTTCAACTCTGTTCTCAAAAAAAAGCCTTTGCCCCTTGCCGCGCGCAAATCCGAGGTAAACCCCCCGCCCAGAGTTATGACGATGCATCGACGTGTTCGTCGTCCCGATGTATCACGCACTAGTGCGAGGTAAATGCCCTGTCACCCCGTTACTAGCGCCCCGCTTGGGGCCCACGGGATCTTCACCGGAGCCGTGCGGCTCGCTGCTTCTCGATCATGTTCCGCGTCCTCGCCTTCCGTCGTCGTCGCCGCCGCCGCCGCCGCCGCCGTCGTCGCCGCCCCCGCCGCCGCCGCCGCCACCGCAGTCGCCGTCGTCGTCGTCGTCGCCGCCGTCGTCGTCGCCGCCGTCGGCGCCGCCGCCGCCATCGCCGCCGCCATCGTCGTCGTCGTCGTCGTCGTCGTCGTCGTCGTCGTCGGCGGCGGCGGCGGCGGCGGCGGCGGCGGCGGCGTCCCATTTCAGGGTCGGCCGCACCTGCCGCCGGGCCTCAGCCACAGGTTCTCCCCCTCTGCGGTCCGCCGGCCACCAGGCGGCCCAGGGCGCCCACGGGCTCTTCCCCGGGCTCCTCCCCGAGGCCGTGCTGCTCGCCGCGGCGGGGCTCCGGGCCCCATCGCCCGAGGAGGCCCAGAGGTGGCGATGCCGCTGCGCCGGCTCCGTGGGCGAAGCAGAGATCCGCAGGCCGCGGCCTCGCGGGCCGGGCCCCTGGAGCGCGGCCCCGCGGGTGCGTGGCGTTGCCCCCCGCGCGGGGCGCACGCGTGCGACCGCGCGTGTCCGCGGGATCGCGCCCCGGGATCCAGGCCGCGAGGGCGCGGATACGGAGGTGTTCGCCGCTCGTGACCGCTGCGTGAATCATCGGCGACCTGTCTTACACAGAAGCTGGCAACTCTCTGTCGCTGCATTGCTGAGTACGAGCCACGTCCACGTCGCAAATCGTACAGGGGGGCTGGGAAGGGGCGTGACACTCCTCGGCAAAAGCCTTGCCCCGGTTTGTGGCCGCACGGAACGCCGCGGCGACATCCAGAGGCACTGCGACCTTGCCCGTTGGCTTACGCAAGCCGCCAGCGCGGAGCGCTACTATATTGATTACGAGGGCGCGCATACGCGCGGCCTTGCGCGGGCAGCTTGCGCGCAGATGTCCGCGAAGGCGACTCAAATGTTATTTCGCCGCTCCATCTCGAGCAACCAAAGCATGCCACGAACGTGAACTTTGGCAGGCCCGCGCTGTTTTCTATCGTCGCCCCATTTCGAGCAACCAGAGCATGCCGTGGACATGAACTCTGGCATTCGGCCGGGCATGTCCTCCTACCGGCGGATCTTGGGCGAACCCCCAAAAAATGATCGAACCTGATGAAAAGAATGGTCGAAAATCGTCTCCAGACTATTTGGTGGACTAGTTTTGCAGACTCCTCCTGCAGAGAGGGACGCGCCCGCCTGACAACTGGCGCTGGAGCCCCCTCCCCGGGCGCGTGGAGAGAGCGCCAAGGGAGCGGCGCCGATCCGGGAGCGCCCGTGCGGAACGCCGCAGATTGACGTGTGCTCACAGGGGCATCCCGGACGGGGTCCTCCGGCCCCAGCTGTTCCGACCCCATCCTGTGTAGAGGCCTCCTATAGTGGGGTCGGACCAGATGGGGTCGAAGGATCGCGCCGCATCGCCGATGCATCGCCGACGCATCGGCGATGCATCGGCGATGTGTTGGCGATGTACTGGAGATGGATTGGCGCCGTCGGCGAGGAGAAAATTGGGCCCCACATCGAGCCGCATCGCTGATGCATCGCCGATGCATCGGCGATACGGCAAGATCCTCCGACCCCATCTGCTCCGACCCCGTCTGGGAGGCCTAGAATCTGGGAGGCCTGGATTCTCAGAACAATCGTCGGTGGCAAGCCAGGGCGCCGCGCCACTGCTTGCCCACGCCCCTCTGCTCGTGGCCAGGTCGCGACTTGGAAAGCTTCGGTGCGGGGGGGGTCTCAGATCCTCTCTTTCTCTAAAGGCATCCCGGATGGGGTCCGAGTACACGGGGTCGGAGGATCCCGCCGCATCGCCGATACATCGGCGATGCATGGCCGATGCATCGGCCATGCACTGGCGACGTCAGCGATGCATCGGCGACGTCGGCGTGGAGAAAATTTGGCCCCACATTGAGCCGCATCGTCGATGCACGCCAATGCATCGGCGATGCGGTGCGATCCTCCGACCCCATCTGCTCCGGCTCCATCTACGAGGCCTAGAGCTGAGTCGCTGCTTGTTCCTCGATCGTAGAAGGTACCCAAAACCTTTCGCATTGTGCAAAATTCTGGACGGGCGGTGTTTCCGTATTTTTGGCCTCTGGAGTCCCTACCCAGGCCTCGCGACTGCCAAAAAACGACTCAGGATGAAAAACCGGTCTTGTGAACAACTCACGGCGTCGGCGGTCTGGGTACCCATCAGTCCAAAGAACTGGGTCCAAACATGAACTAGTATGGCGCTGAACTCGGTAATCGAGTAGAGGATCGACTGCATCATCGATGTTCCACAAAAATTGCCTTCTCGTCGAATCGTACGTGAAATGTTCGTAGATCTACGAACAGTATGCGAACGCTCATGGATTTGACGAACAAAATAATTCTGTGGTAAATGAATTATGTTCCATATACCCTACTCGAAGTAAGGACCCCCAGAGGCTGAAAATGGGGGAAAAAACTCCCGGCACGATGTTTTCGCAACACGAGGAGGTCGTGGAGGGCACCCATCGGTCGGAAGAGGCAGGCAGAAGCGCGCCGCAGGACGGCGTTGAAAATAGACATGAGTGTCAGCGCGCTCCCTGTGAGGAGGACGGAAAGAACAGGTGAGGCCTCTCGATCCTGGAAGCGGGCAGGCGCTTGAGCTGGATATGGAGCCTGGAGTCCACAAATGAAGGGGCCCTGGGACACACAAATAAATACACACAAATAACCGGATTCCCCATGTTTTCCCTACATTTTCTGGGTTTCGTCTTCCCCTCCACTTCTTATATTTTCCGATATTTTCTGGGTAATCGTCGATTCATTGTGTCTGTGTGTTTTTTTCCCTCCTGAACAAAGGCCTCCTCTCGACGACCCCACGGGCAGCGGCGTCGGCGCCTTGCCCTCCTCGGCTCGCCGCCTCCCGAGGGCCCGGGCGAGACCGGGCTCGCGGGCGCCGCCCCGGGGCGCATTGAGGGGGGGGGGGGGGCCGCGGGCGCCGAGCCGGGCTGCGGAGGCAGGAGACAAGCAGGGCGCCAGTGCTGGGCCTCGTCTGCCACCGCCACCACCAGGAGGAGGAGGAGGGGGTCCTCCTCCCCCCCCTTCCTCCTCCTGCTCCTCTCCTCCTCCTCCTCCTCCTCCTCCTCCTCCTCCTCCTCCTCCTCCTCCTCCTCCTCCCCCTCCTCCTCCTCCTCCTCCTCCTCCTCCTCCTCCTCCTCCTTCTCCACTTCCTTCCCCCCCATCCAGCTTCTGGTGGTGGTGGTGGTGGTGAAAAACAGGCCCACCAGCCGTAAACATCCACTTTCTGGCGCTCCGCGCGGGTTTCTAGGAGCTGCGCTGGGCCCCCCTCCCTGGCGCGCGGAGCGCGCCAGGGGCGGCGCAGGAGGCGCCGCCAGGGGGGTGTCTCCAGCGCGGATCCAAGAAACCCGCACGTAGCGCCAAAAGTTTATGTTCATGCTGTTTTTTCTCCTTCGATGTACAGCAAGTTCGCGGTAGGCCCTGACCCGCGGAGTACATGCGCGGCCCAAGGCAGCACAGCTCCACGTGGGGGGGTGGTGACCGGCCGCCGGTTCTGCAGGCCAAACGGCGCTCAAACACACTACCAAACCGCCCTCGGGGCCCGAATCATAAGTCAGTTTCTTTTATCGTGTCTCAAAATCCGCGCGGAGCGCCAAAAGGTTTGTGTTTATGCCGTTTTCTGGGGGGAGGGGGGGGGAACGAACGCCATGCAAGGAAACCTGCCTGAGTCTCAAAAGGCAGGCTCCGAAGATCCTCCACGTTCGGGGCCTCCTCCCGCATCGCTCCTCCGCGGCCGCCCCCTCCTCCTTCCCCGACTGCTGCTGCTGTGCGCCCTGTCAGCCCGGCGCGGCCCGGCCGGTTGCTTGCTTCCCGTACTCCAGATTTCGTAATCAAAGGGAGGGGGTCTGGACCCTCCAGGACAAGCCATTTCAGATCTCCCCCGTGGGAGAACCCTCCAAAACATCGTCCCCAGACCCCCCCAGGCCCTCCAAGGTAGCCTGGAAGAGACCCCCCCCGAAATGAGACCCCTCTCCCTTTCTTACGAAATCTGGAGTACGCAGTCGGCGTCCGCCCTCGCCGCGGACCAGCAACATGTGCTCCTCGCCGTCGGCCGCCGGGGCCCGCTGTCGCGAGGGCTGCCGAGGGTGCCCCCTCTATCCCACGGGTGCCCTCCGCTTGTTGCTCCCATCTGGAGCCCGTGTGTCCTCCTCCTCCTCCTCCTCCTCCTCCTCCTCCTCCTCCTCCACCACCTCTTACTCCTCCTCCTCCTCCTCCTCCTCCTCCTCCTCCTCCTCCTCCTCTTACTCCTCCTCTGGGCATCGTGAAGGGTGCTCGTGGAGGCCGTGGGGGGCTCCTCGGAAATCAACGGGGCACCTCGGGCCGGGGGCAAATCTGGCAACACCCGACAGGACCGAGCCCCCAGGGACCATCCAACGCAGATCCCGGACGGAGAACTGGCCCCAGGGAAGTGGTCGGGAACTCTGGGGCGGCGGAAACGATCACATCGTCGGATGTCTGGACTTCGCGCCGCGACGAGATCATGGCGAGGTGTCAGACCAATTTGCCGGGCGGCCCCTGTGGGGCACCTGCCAGGCCGCGAGGCCGTCAAGGACGGCGCGGGATGAAAAGCCGGTCCCAGGGCAGAGGGCGAGACCTCCGGGATCCCACGGTGTGGGAGAACGAGCGGGGTCTGGGAAGAACGCGTCAAGTCAGGGGTAGCGCCCGTCCGAGGGAGCAGAGGTATGAGAAGCACACTCTCAAAACCGAGGGATGCAGGGGCCCCTCGCCTCCATGGCTCAGCCTGGAGGCCAGTCTGAAGTGGGGTGTGCGCTGCGCGAGCGAGACCTCAGGATGAGCAGGTCACGAGGTTGGAAGACTGAGTTTCTCGTTTGCGTGTGCGTGTGGTCATCTTGCTGAGCCTCCACGGTGCCTCTCGTCGCCACGGCAGGATCCCCCTGCGAATTTCTGGCCAGAAAGCAACGAAAAGCACCTATGGGGTCGGCCATACCTCACGATATCGGAAAAGCAGCGCTTCTGCTGCATGCGAGCCCTTCGGGAACTCTCGGCCTCGTGCGACGGCCCCCCCGGGCCCGAAACGGGATTCCTCCTCCGCACTCCTCCTCCGGGGGAGGCGGCCATACTGCCGCATCGGGACGATGATTACAGTGGACGCCAATCCATAAGAGCCGTTCCACAAGAAACCCAACCCTGAGACCCCAGGACGTCCATGGATTTTTGGCTGTGGGAGCGCCACGCTTTCCATCGCAGAAACATCGAAACCCAAGAAACACAGGGCACCCTGGAGGCAAGCAGGGTGTTTCTTGGCATGGGCCCCCACTGTACCCCACAACTCTGCGCCCCCGTGCACTCGAGAGGAGGAGGAGGAGGAGGAGGAGGAGGAGGAGGAGGAGGAGGAGGAGGAGGAGGAGGAGGAGGAGGAGGAGGGGAGGAGGAGAGGAGGAGGAGGAGGAGGAGGAGGAGGAGGAGGAGGAGGAGGAGGGGTGGCGACGAGGCAGAAGAAGACTGCGGCTGCGTCCCTGCTCGCCCAAGATCTAAAGCCGGCTCGGGCATGCGGCGGGCTCTGGCCTGGATAAAACTGCGTCGCGAAGAAGCAGGGCTAAAGGTGGGCTCGCTGAGGCTGGCCTGGCGGTCGGACCAGAAGGCTCCAGGCATTGCAGCACAGGCGCCCGCCTCTTCCTGCTCTCAGTTGTGCCTCATGGTCGTCGTGATCTTGTCCTGTCTCCTCGTCCTCTCCTCCCGAGGATTACTGTCCATCCTCCTCTTCCTCACGATCCTGGTCGTCCTCCCCCCATGTTCCTCCTCCTCCTCCTCCTCCTCCTCGCTCCGCACTCTTCACTTCTCCCTGATCCGCACTATCCTCCTTCTGCTCCCCGCTCCTCTCTCGTCACCTCTCACTCCTTCCCTCTTTCCTCCTCTTTGCCCTCCTCCCCTCCCTTATCCGACTCCGCATCATCGCCCTCCCTCTTCTGCTCTTCTCCTTCTGCGTCTCCTCCTTCTCACCATCGGCCGTCGGCCCCGCGCTGACGGGAGGACACAACCCTGGGGGAACTTGCAGTGGACGCACGGGGCGCCTGCAAACGGGTTTCGAGCACAGGCCCCCGAGGAACAACCCCACGGTGCCACCCAAAGCGACGCCCTCCTGGGCAACAGTAGCCTGATTCGGGCGTGAGCCAGCCCGCTGTATCCTGCCATTGCATGCTTGGTGTCTGGGCCTGCTTCGCACTCCTCCTGGGGCCGCCTGGGATCTTCTGCTGAGTGCCAGGACTCAGGGTACAACAAAAGCGGCCGGCTTTGGCGAGAACAGGCGACCCCATGTGGCCGCATGGCTCCCGCGACATTTGCCATGTCTTCGGGGGTGAACTGGTCATGTTGGGCCTTCTCCGGCGAGTGGCCTCAAGAGGCCCGATGCTGCATTGTAAGCGTGTGCCTCCAGCGTCTTGATCACGAAAGGTTCCCTGGAAGGAAAAACACCCCACGGCCATGAGCCACGGAATACGCACTACCCGCGGGCTCCATGACGCAGCCCGTGACATGCTCATGCAAGCGGATCCACATGCCCAGAAGGTGCCGCCCCGCTGCATAGCAAGGATCCGCTGATTGTACTAGTCCAGCTCGACTGGCAGACCTATTGACTCGAATGGATCCGCAAGCAGATCTGAGCGACACCTCCTCCCACCTCCCAGGAACGCTACAAGACCACTCGGCGGCACTTCCGCCCGCTTCCTCCCAGGGTCCAGGCCTACGGACTGCTGCGCTAGACGAAGACAAACACAATGATTATGAACTTCTGGCGCTCCGCGCGGATTTCTTGGATCTGCGCTGGACCCGCCCTCCTGGGCGGGCGAAACGCGCCAGGGACGGCGTCGGAGGCGCCGCCGGGGGTGCCCAGCGCGGATCCAAGAAATCCGCGCGGAACGCGTAAAGTTTATGTGGGGGGGAAAACAAACCTACCTCGCTTTTGACCACCCTACCAGACGACGCCAAACTACGGCCTGTAGTGGTCAGGCCGCTTGACGAGGAGGCGCGTGGTATGACTTGGTTTTGCCTGGAAGCGAAAGCGGGGTAGGTAATTCACGCTCTGATTATGATTATGCCGTTTCTTGTTCTTCGATGCACACCACTCGGTGGCACTTCCGCCCGCTTCCTCCCAAGGTCGGGGGCCGCGGACTGCTGCAGGGCAGGCTCGCGGCAGGCCCGGACCCGCGGGCGACATGCGAAGGTCAGGGCACCGTGCAGCTGGCTCCACGTGGGGGTGACACGAGTGGATCCACGAGAGAATCTGAGCGACGCCTCCTCACACCCCCCAGTGCGACTGCGGGCAGTAGTTATACCCACATCCAGTGCGTCTTGGAGTCTTGGGCTCTATTACCCAGGAGCCGTAGACGCACTGGATATGGATAAATTTCTGGCCCCAAGAGGCTTGATTTTATCCATATCCAGTGCGCCTGGGCGTTGCGGCACCTCTTCCCGAAAAGTCAAACCAAGACGCTCTGGATATGGATATAAGTACTGCCCGCAGTGACGGGGGCCACAGGCCGCTCGGTGGCACTTCCGCAGCGCGTTCCTCTCGGGGTCGGGGGCTTCACGCACTGCTGCACGGCAAGTTCGCGGCAGGCCCCGACCCGCGGAGTGCCTCCGCGGGCCGGGGCAGCATGCAGCTCCACATGGAGGGTGGCGACCAGCCGCCGCTTCTGCAGGCCAAACGGCCCTCCTCCTCCCTGCTCCCTCGCTCCTCCCTCCTCCCTCCCTCCCTCCCTCCCTCCCTCCCTTCTCCTCCTCCTCCTCCTCCTCCTCCTCCTCCTCCACCTTCTCCTCCTCCTCCTCCTCCTCCTCCTCCTCCTCCTCCTCGAGCATGTGGCGTTTTGGGAGCCTCCTGCATGAGGGCTCCTTCAGCGCCTCCGGGGGGAGCTCTTCGGCAGGGCGGCTCTCGGGAGCAATTCCGGGGGCCACGCTCGTGGCTGCATCCTCCGGGCGTCTCCTGGGAGCCTCTCTCTGGGCCTCTCTTGGGGCTGTTTTGGGGGCGCCTCTCGGGGGGGCGCCCCGGCGCTCTGGTGGGAGAGTCGAGCGTCAGCGTCCGAAGGGCACAGTAGGAGCTCAACCACAAGAAGCCTTCCACCAGGAACCCAGCCCTGAGACCACAGGACGTCCACTGATGCTTGGTGTGGGAACGTGACGCCTTCTATCGCAGGACCATGGAGACTCAAGAAGCCCAAGGCACCCTGGAGGCATGCAGGGTGTTTCTTGGCATGGGTTTCCACGGTACCGCAGGCGAGAACTTGGAATGGCAAATTTCATATGTTGTCCTGCGGGTTCTGTGAAAATCCTTGGCGCTGTCGTCGGCGACCTTGGGGGCCCCTCGGAAGCCTCTTGGCGCTCCATTGGGCGCTCGTGGGGGCCTCTTGAGCCGTCGGGAGGCTGCCTGTGATCCCGCGTCCCTCGGCCGACCCTGGGACGGCAGTGTGGGCGCCATCCTGGCTGAAGCCGCGCCGGGATCGCAGCGCCTGCAATTAGGGCCAAGCAAAGCAAGTGTAATGCGCAACAAAAACCTACTTGGACGGCTGCCAGACATAATGACCGCAAGCAGGTGTGAAACGCAGAGGGGCACAGAACACAAGGCGAAAGCTGAGGAGCCTACAGGGCGGCAGAGTCACCGCGCAGGCGCCCTCCTCGCTCTCCCCCCCGGTGGCCCCGCCTCGTGCAAGCCGAGCCTCGTGGCGACGGGGCTGAACGTGGGCTCGCTGACGCTGTCCTGGCGGCCGAGGCGGAGGGCGCGGGGATGATGTTGCCAGAACGTCGACCCCCCAAAGGATTCGGCCCATGCCCCGGGACCCGTGTTTCGTCCCGAGTCGTTCTGTTGACGGTCCAGGGGACCCGGTCCCAGACCCCGTCATGATGATTTCGAGTCGTCGACCCCCAAAGATCTCGACCCATCTCCCGGGGACCGGTTTTTCGTCGATATTTGCTTGACGGTCCCGGGAACCCGGCAAAAGCCCCCGGACGCCGAACATAGCGAAACACCTCCCGTCATTCCCAACCCTCCATATGTGGTTGGGCACTCGTTTTGAATAGAGCAGTGTGGTCGCCCCAGCCTCCTTCTGATCCTCCCCCCTCCTCCTCTCCAGTCTCCTGTGCTCCCCTCTCCTCTTCTCTCGTGCTGTCGGGCTGCGATCTGCGCAACTTTCGCCAGCGCAACTGTTGTCACTTTCGTGGGCTCCTGGGAGGCCCAGCGGAGGTGGGTCCCACGCGGACCACCTCGGGACCTCGCGGTGCCCTGGGGGCTGCGATCTGCGCAATTGTCGCCACTTTCGTGGGCTCCTGGGAGGCCCAGCGGAGGTGGGTCCCACGCGGACCACCTCGGGACCTCGCGGTGCCCTGGGGGCTGCGATCTGCGCAACTGTCGCCACTTTCGTGGGCTCCTGGGAGGCCCAGCGGAGGTGGGTCCCACGCGGACCACCTCGGGACCTCGCGGTGCCCTGGGGGCTGCGATCTGCGCAACTGTCGCCACTTTCGTGGGCTCCTGGGAGGCCCAGCGGAGGTGGGTCCCACGCGGACCACCTCGGGACCTCGCGGTGCCCTGGGGGCTGCGATCTGCGCAACTGTCGCCACTTTCGTGGGCTCCTGGGAGGCCCAGCGGAGGTGGGTCCCACGCGGACCACCTCGGACCTCGCGGTGCCCTGGGGGCTGCGATCTGCGCGCAACTGTCGCCACTTTCGTGGGCTCCTGGGAGGCCCAGCGGAGGTGGGTCCCGCGCGGACCACCTCGGACCACCGATCGCAACTGGTCACTTTCGTGGCTCCGCCCGGTGGGTCCCACGCGGACCACCTCGGGACCTCGCGGTGCTCTGGGGGCTGCGATCGGCGCAACTGTCGCCACTTTCGTGGGCTCCTGGGAGGCCCAGCGGAGGTGGGTCCCACGCGGACCACATCGGAACCTCGCGCCGCCCCCTGGGGGGCTTGCGATCTGTGCAACTGTCGCCACTGTCGTGGGCCCCTGGGAGGCCCAGCGGAGGTGACTCCCACGCAGAACACCTCGGGACCTCGCGGTGCCCTGGGGGCTGCGATCTGCGCAACTGTTGTCACTTTCGTGGGCTCCTGGGAGGCCCAGCGGAGGTGGGTCCCACGCGGACCACCTCGGGACCTCGCGGTGCCCTGGGGGTTGCGATCTGCGCAAAGGTCGCCGCTTGCGTGGGCTCCTGGGAGGCCCAGCGGAGGTGGGTCTCACGCGGACCACCTCGGGACCTCGCGGTGCCCTGGGTGCTGCGATCTGCGCAACTGTCGCCATTTTCGTGGGCTCCTGGGAGGCCCAGCGGAGGTGGGTCCCACGCTGGCCACCTCGGGACCTCGCGGTGCCCTGGGGGGCTGGGATCTGCGCAACTGTTGTCATTTTCGTGGGCTCCTGAGAGGCCCAGCGGAGGTGGGTCCCACGCGGACCACCTTGGGACCTCGCGGCGCCCCGGGGGCTTGCGATCTGCGCAACTGTCGCCACGTTCGTGGGCTCCTGGGGGGCCCAGCGGAGGTGGGTCCCACGCGGACCACCTCGGGACCTCGCGGTGCCCTGGGGGCTGCGATCTGCGCAACTGTCGCCACTCGTGGGCTGGGAGGCCCAGCGGAGGTGGGTCCCACGCGGACCACCTCGGGACCTCGCGCCGCCCCCTGGGGGGCTTGCGATTTGCGCAACTGTCGCCACTTTCGTGGGCGCCTGGGAGGCGCAGCAAAGGTACGTCCCACCTGGACCACCTTGGGATCTCGCCGCCCCCTGGGGGGCCTGCGATCTGCGGAACTGTCGCCACGTTCGTGGGCTCCTGGGAGGCCCAGCGGAGGTGGGTCCCACACGGACCACCTCGGGACCTCGCCGCCCCCTGGGGGGCTTGCGATCTGCGCAACTGTCGCCACTTTCGGGGGTCCTGGCAATGTAAATCTATCTATGCTTACCTAGTGCATTTGCTTATTTAGTAGTCGGCCTTTAAATTTAGCGTCGACGCTAAACTTTAGCGACGACCGTCGCTAAATCTGTAGCGACGCGCACATCTTAATGACGACGACGGCGCGATGTTGCCCCATGAGGAGGCGCACTTCTCCTGCAATGGGATATGTTACTCACGCGCGGAGGAGGCCGCGCCTCCTGCGGCGAGCCATATGCTGCATGTGCGAGCGGTCTTGGCGTGTGGAGGGGGCGTCGCCCCCTCCGGGACATCGCGTCGATCTCGCAGGGGCGGAGGTCGACCTCTTGTCATGGAGGCGAAGAACGAGGAGGCCGCGCCTCCTGCACGGGGGGAAGGGGGAGGAGGACTTGGGGCGGGGCGAGCATGCGGACGTGGAGGCCGCGCCTCCTAGGAGCGACGACGGCGGCGAATCCAACCTTCCCATCGCCGCCGCAGTCTGCCATCGAGAGGCCGCGGCAACGGTTCCCCCCCCACCTCGGCGCGGGGCCCCTCGCATGGCGTCGGGGCGTGCGAAAGTGGAGATCGCCCAGGAGGATTTGAACGGGATCATCCGCAAGTGGCAGGGCGAGATCCTGGGATTCCACTGCGCGGGCAGCTACGAGGACATCGCGCGCGAGAACGTGAACTTCCTGGCGAGCGTGAATGGGCGGACGGCGAGGTTGTCCGCGAAGGACCTCCCCCCGAAGGGTCTGAAGGAGGTGCTCGGGGAGGCGGACCCTGCGTCCTCGGCGTGGGCAAAAATGACGGTGGAGACGCTGTCGCGGTGCAGCAAGAGGATCGGCGACAAGGAGTTGCAGCGCCTCCCTCCCGCGGTGCAGACGGTGATCCACGCCAGAAGGCGGAAGACGTGGGCGGCGGACAGCACTCGCCCGCCTCGACGCCGCCGAGCTCAGCAAAGCTTCGCGGCAGCCCAGGGGCGGCGTCGGCCGCCTCGGGCGGCGCCGCGCCCAGCGCAACGGACCAGGGCGCGGCGATCCTGGCCCTATATGGCGCGAGGAGCCCCCCGCGGAAGCGCAAGGGCGACGAGGTGGTGCACATCGCCCCGTCGCAGGAGACCGTGGCCAGCAGCCCGCCGAGCACGAGGAAGGCCCGCGCGGCGTTTGCGTTTCGCTTTGCACCATGCACGAGAGAGAGAGAGGGAGGCATGGAGAGACAGAGAGAGAGAGAGATAGAGAGAGAGAGAGAGAGAGTTCGAAGTTCGGAATTCGAAGTTCGAGAGAGGAGGGGGAGAGAGAGAGAGAGAGAGAGAGAGAGAGAGAGAGAGAGAGAGAGAGAGAGTTCGATATGAAAGCGCCATCTCTCTCTCTCTCTCTCTCTCTCTCTCTCTCTCTCTCTCTCTTTCTCTCTCTCCCCCGCGCCCCCGTCGCCCCCCCCCCCCTTCCGCCGCCGAGGCGCGCGAGGGGGCGAGCTACCAGGCCGAGAAGACGGCGACCTTCCAGGAGGACGAAGACTGGGTGGATTACAACACGATGGAACTCGTGAGGGCTCGGCACTGCCCCGAGGCGCGGCTCGGGCTCAAGGAAGAGCGGCATCGTCTTCGCCATGGCACCAGGGGCTTCGCCGTGATCACCGTCGACGGTGAGGAGGTCGAGACGCTCGTGGCGATAGCCGCCCTGCAGGCCGCGGAGCAGGGGGGCCGAGGGAAGGCAGTCAAGCCGCAGCAGGCTCACCCGAAGGGCGGGGCGAAGAAGCGGCCAGCGGCAGCGCCGAAGAGGCCGGCGGCAGCGGACGAGGAGGAGGGCGAGGAGGAGGACGAGGACGAGGCCAAGGGGGCCCGCGCCCGCGACGACAGCGAGGACGGCGAAAGGGAGAGCAGCCAGGAGACGAGCGAATCCGACCTGGAGGGCGCCGCGGGCGGCTCGAGCAAGCGGAGGCCGGCCGCGGCCGCCAGGAAGCCTGCCGCGGCCGAGGAGAAGCTTGCCGTGGCCGACAGGAGCCCGAGCTTGGAGGCGGGGGGGGATTCTGCGAGGGGGAAAGCCTGGGTTGTCATGTGGTATAAGGCAGGCGAGAAGAAGAAGGCGGCCGCGGCGATCCGCCAGGTGCACAAGCCGCGCAGCCAGGTGCGCCAGTGGACAGCGGGCGACTACCCCGAGGCGCAGATGCGGGAGATGGCAGCGGACATGGTCAGCAAGCTGCGCACGCGGGAGATCGCGGAAGCGACCGCGAAAGCGCGAGGCGAGGAGTTCCTGCGCGACAAGTTCGGAGTGGCGGAGGCGGCGCGAGTAGAAGGAGGGAGCGGCGGCAGCGGAGATGCGCACGTATAGAGCAGCCAGTTCTGGGCCACAGTCACGCAGCTGAAACAGGAGTTCGGAATCAGACCTTGCACCGTCCTCGATGCGGCCCGCTAAAAAGGAGGGGGGCGAAAAGCGAAGGCAAAGGAGGGGGGGGGGCGCCGCCTCCTGGACGAGAGCCCGCCCCCTGCGCGCAGGGGAGGAGCGCGTTGATCGACAGAGGGGGAGGCGACGCCTCCCGATGGAGGCTCCGCCTCCTGCTCGGCAACATCGCCCCCGACAGGGGGCCCCGCCTCCTGCTCGGCACCGCGTTCTGCAGGAGGCGCCGCCTCTTGGGGCATCTTGCTCCGAACGGTAGCTGGATGCACGCTTTCATTCGCCCGTCGCAGCCACGAGCGCTCCTCGCGGGGCGCCTGCGCGACGATCGGGGCCGCGCGGCCCCTCCCAAGCAGGACCTCTCGGCGGGGCCATGGCGGCCTGCTGGGCGCTGCTGCTGCTCGCCGCGCTGGCGCAGCAGGCGGATGGGGGAGTTAAGAGGGGGAAGAAGAGGAGGAGGCGTCGCCTCCTGAAGGAGGA